TATTTTTTGTACTGTAGTTTCACAGACTACTTTTGTTGCCTTGCATGTGGCAGCAGAGAATTGGGCCTGTATATGCGTGCAGCCACTGGGATGGTATGCCCCAGGCCGAAGCGACGTGGGCTGGCCCCTTGCAGTTTCAAGGATGGCCGAGTGGGCTGGATCTGACCTCATTTGACCTTTTTCGGCCTGCGGGCCTTCAGTTTGACACCCCTGTGATAAACCATCTGAAGACAATCATTTAATTGTCCAGACAGCCTCCTGAAGGCTTGGCTGCTTCAAGTGCCTTCAGAGGTCTTCTGCATGTGTGTGCATATCCTCTTAGGAACACTTCTGCAAATTTATGTTGTTAATTTTTATTTATTACTTAAAATTTTATTCTATGTTATCCATATCCCTTGCAAGGTGACTTTGGGCGGCTTTTAAGTTACAAAACAAACAAATAATAACTAAAATATTAAAACTAGATTAAAGTATTATTAAATCTGTATTAAAACCTAAATTAGAAGAACTTTCAGATGGACGGATAGTGATGAGGTTTTCTTAACCCATCAGCTGCCTCCAGCAGTGAGCTCCCCCCCGCCTTACAGGCCAGTAGGAAAAGCCAGTTTTAATACCTTCTGGAAAGCCAAAGGCAGTTCTAATCTCCAGGAGTAGAATGTTCCACAGAGATGTTTGCATATCTGTAAAAAATTGAATGTGTTTTGGAAAAGCATTCCCTACGCTTTTCCAATGACAGTATTTAAAAAAAAGAGAAACCCTAGACCAGATTTTTTTTTGGGGGGGGGGGGGGGGGGCGACACCAAACTTCTGAATGTTATATATAGATTTTATAAGTTGCCATGGTTGCTGGTTAAAAAAAAGCTACCAAGAATAGAGAGAAAAGTTAACTTTAAAACTGCATTTCTCTTCAAATTGCAGTGAGATTTTGACAGTGAAGAAGCTTTATATGCCCTTCAGTGAATATTTCTTCATACAAATTTGTTTGGCATCTTAACATGGCATTGCTATCATACATTGCTTCCTTCATTACAGTTTAATTTTTCTAGTAAAAAAGCTTTATTCTTGTATTTTTAACATTCTCAAATGTAAATATATTATCTTAACAATTTTTACATTCTTTCAAAATCTAAGGCAGAAATAAATTGTTGTCTCTCTAAGCCGCCTAAGAAGTGGGGTGTACCATTTCCCTAACAGTTTATCACTGTCTTTTAAAATACACCCAAATATCTCTTCATTCCATGTTCCTTTCTATTTTCTATAAACTCATCTCTAAATCTTCAGTTCTCCTTATTAATCCACAAACCTCCAGTAATAATTAACAAGAATACTTAATAACATAATACAATCCCTCTTTCTGTTTAGTCTAAATTGTCTTTATCCCTCTCTTAATAGTTAAACATTGCAAAAAGGAAATTAAAAACTATTAAACATTACCAGAAATAATAATTCCTTATTTACATATCAAAAACTAATCCATTACACTATTAAATATTTCAAAAGAATAACTGCTCAATTCAGATAATTTCCCTTCTCTTATCTAATTACCAAAAGTGGCCATAAAGCCCCTGCAGAAAAATTGGTTGTCCTCACATCACTGAAGTCATCTAAGCTGTACAATTTTTGACTATAAAGTGAGGAGGATTATACAATGGAGTCCTATTATATAACATGCCAAAGAAATATTATAGTAATGGAGATTCTGACCATAGTAAAGATTTGGTTTGATAATTGTAGAAAATACTAGTATTGCTTACAAAAGTAACAGTTCTATACTTATTGGTTGGTAATATGTAATTTATTCTAGTGCTGTGCCTTCAACCAATGCCTTTTGTAGATAGCTGATTTTGTTATTTGTTGGACATCTTCTTTTGAATTGTTGATTATACTATCAAAGTGTGTTTAAGTATGTTTGCCAGAAGAACCAGAATGAAATGGAGGGGAGGGCATTTGATTGGGATAGTCAGTTGAGAAGAAATCAAGGCACTTAACCAGCACTACCACCATTGCTCCTTATGTTCATTACATACGTTCTGGTAGATTCCATTTTCTTTTAGATGAATTTACAGTTTCTCAAATTGCCTGGAGAAATACTAATGAAAATTACTAGGATGAGAAAAGTTGTAGTTTACGTGAATAAAGATTTTAAGTGTTACTGCTATTATATTAAGTGTTACTGCTCCAGTACTACTCAGATTCTTTTCTGAAGTTATTTACCCACCCTGCTTCAGTGTTACTAGGGAAACCATTGTTTCCATTGTAACATCTAGCACAACTCTTAGGTTCCTATTCTAGAAAACAGGTTCTCTCTTTGTGTTATAAATGCGTGTTGTCATAATAATGGCAAAGCTGCAATTTGTGAACTTTCTCAGATAGTATTTTTTCCCATTACAGACCATCCCTGAGAACATGGTATGAAAGTTACATGCAAAAGAAATGAGATTTACCATAGCTCCAGTTAGTGTTTATAGTGTTGTAAGCTGTGTCCACAATTTAGTTTATATAAATAATTTGAGAAATGAAGTGTAAACAGGAATAAAAGCAAGTTTTAATGGGGAATTCTTTGCACTGTCCTGTATCCTTTTTATATTACAGTTATGGAAGGAAGGGGGAAGGCTGAATTTGGCCTTCCCTTGTAATTTGAAATTATGATACATTTTCATGATGCCAGGAAATGAATGGGATATATTAGCATAAAAGGGAAGCAGTGATATTGAAATCTAAGTCTTAATGCTAATTGTGAACTTCACTACTGAAGTAATATTATATATTATGGTTGTTAATGAAGTTTAAAAAACTAAAAGCAAGATTTTTGATTGAATTATGAAATAACTGATTCGAAAAAAAACTCTGCCAGCTCAGTTTTATCTTGGACAAGTTTTTAGATATTTTGCTGACTTTTATTTCGAGCCTACAGATACTGTGTGTGTGTGTTTGTGTGTGTGTGTGTGTATTCTTTTAAACCATCTAATCTCAGAATATTAAGAATAGTTGCCCTTTGTCCAAAATCTCTGGCAGAAAAAAAACAGTGGTTATGAAAGATAGAGCTTTTAAAAATTCCAGACAACCTGTTACATCGTTTTTTGAGATATTTCCTTACCAGGTTCCTCAATGTCTTCAACAATAACAGAACTTCTAATTTAGGGCCTTCATTGCAAAAGTTCATAAAAATTTAGAGAGATATTCAGGGATGTATCCACCTTGAAAATAGTCCATGTTAAACTGTATAGCATAACATCAGGAGGGACTCCAAGAAATGTTTTATGACATTTTGCATTATGTCATAAAATGCTTTCTGATTATTTTTATATCAGAAAATGTTTTATAAAATTTACGAAATTTCAATTCCATGGGAGTCATGGGTCCCAGATTTTGAACACATTCTGTAAGTTAGCACATTTGAGGTACCTTGATTCAAAAATTGTTGCCCTATGATACACTATTTTGCCAGTTAAAGGTTTCACACAGATAGGAGAGTTTTAGTAATATATAGATGATGTGTATTCAGCTGATCCATTGTAAATGTCATGTTTTGCAAAGATTCAGTTGTTTGTAGTCAGCCTGCATTCTTACTTTTTTTTAATTCTTCAGTACTGTATACAATAGAACCTCTGGTCACGAACACTTCTGATCACGACCAAATCTGGCTCCAACCAAAAAATTCACAAAATGTTTGAATCTGGTCACAAACACACACTCACTCGGGCAGCAATCAAACATGACCCCTGATCCAGAAATTCCTGAAGACGAAACATTAGAAGACAAAGAAATCGACAAAGTTATGGGATTAATTATGGTCATGACCAGATGTTCTACTATACATCCTTGCCATTTAAATAAGTAATTTAGATGATCTAAATCAATTAAATTATTAGATATTTAAACTTCCATTGAGAAATTATACCTATATACAGGTAGTTTTTGATTTACGACCATAACGGAGCCCAACATTTCTGTTGTTAAATGAGACATTGTTAAGTGAGTTTTGCCCCATTTTACGATCTTTCTTGCCAGAGTTGTTAAGTGAATGAATGCAATTAATAAATTGGTAAACTGGTTATTAATGACTTTGCTTGTCAGGAGGTCACAAAAAGTTCACATGACCCTGAGACAGAGCAACAGTCATAAATATGTACCAATTGCCAACCATCTGAATTTTGATCACATGATAATGGGGATGCTACAAAGTTCATAACTGAAACATGGTCATAAGTCACTTTTTAAACTTGTAACTTTGAATAGTCACTAAATGAACTGTTGTAAGTCGAAGACCACCTGTAGTGCTGTCTTTATATTTCTGTTAAAATATAGTTGATTTGTATTTATTAAACAAATAATGTAGTTTACGTTTAGTGATTACCTGCATGTTGAAAATATATTACACTTTTTAATGGCGGGGGGACCCTAAAGCTGAAAGATTTTGTATTTTCTTCAGGCTAATTATTCAAATCTGAAATCTTCATATAAAGGCCATGTCTTTTTATTTGAAATTAGTTTAGCAAGGACTTCTATTATTAAATGATAATTGTTTTAATAATAAAGCACTTGTTTTCTAAAATTTCAATGTGCATTATTAATATTTGCATAATATTGTTTTAAGAAGCAATGGACATTTTTCCAGCAAGTTTTTTTGTGGATCTGGTATTCTTAGACATTTTTGCTGGCAGGTGCTATTTGTTTTGCTTTATTAAGATGAAGTGCTAGAAATGCAAGACTTTCTTTTATTGAGAAATTTATTTTATTTAGAAACTGAAATTTTCTGCTTTCTTTCAGTGTTGGAAGCATAACCATGATAGCTTGCTGTGTGTGCTTTAAAATATTTGAATGATTAGGGAGTAGAAGAATTATTTTGGTAGGTTGAGATACTTGATTATGCCAATTCTCTGTAACTTCCAAATAGTATAGAGAAACAGCTTGTATTAGAACATACTAACTAAAATAGGAAATATTACCTATAGAGAAATGGCAACAACTTGACATTATTATCAACATCCTTAAATGCTATCTTCATTTTTCAAATACACACATGACTCTCTTATTTGCGGGTTGCTAATGATGGCAACTGCTTTCTCTGCAACATTCTCATTACCACCAGCCTTTTGAATGACAAGAATAATTATATAAAGCATCTAACTCAAAAAGGAAGAAGGTCCTATGAGGCGTAGGTTTTCTCTAGGTGCTGGGGTTTCACTTCCTCCACGAACTGATAGCCGAAAGCTTGTCCGGAATGCTTCATTTGGAGGCTGCAGTGAACTCTCACCAGTCTTTCAAGGTTTGTTTTCTTTTTTTTTATATTGTCACAAAAGTAGGTTGCATTGCTAGGTGCAATATTAACAAATAAAAACAATACATTTTGGGTAGGTGTTAACTCACATCATGTTTATTGATTGCTAAACAATATTTTACAGGTTTAAAATTGTTACAATACCACAAGGATATTTGAATGTTGTTTCTAATATGCTTATTCAGAATTTAATGGTTTTGTCTTTAAAGAAAGTATACTTGATAATTATAATTTTATTCTATAGAGACTTGTAAACTCATTCATTTCTTTTTAAGGTTTTGATAGAGGGAAAGATGATGCTTCACAGAATAAAGATGATTCCTTACAATCAATGTCAAAAAGTAAAGTAAGTACAATTATTATATGTATCTTTACCCTCATTCATTTCTTTTTAAGGTTTTGATAGAGGGAAAGATGATGCTTCACAGAATAAAGATGATTCCTCACAATCAATGTCAAAAAGTAAAGTAAGTACAATTATTATATGTATCTTTACCCTACCGATTTAGATGTATTTATTTCTTCTGAAATAAAAAGTGGGCTTAGTTACAGCATGTCACACATTTACTTGTCTATACATTATCTATCTTGGTCTTCACTCAGTGGTCAAAAAAGGCAGATATAGGATACAAAAGAAATTAATATTTATATTTATTTTCAATTATTTGTACACAGCCTTGTACTGAAATCATATAGTAATTTATTGATTAAAAAGGTTTTCCATTTGTAAAATCATTTGTCTTCATTTACCTTCATCTGTCTACATTTACACAGAGAAACTGTTCTCTGTCAAACACAAAGGCATACCAAGTATGTATGCCGTTATATAGGTTTCTCCACAGTAGAAAGAGCAAAGAAGAAGTAAATAAGATGTTTATGGAACAAATTGAAGGAATAACAGTACTGGATAAAGGGAGAAAGAAAGGGTTGGAGGAAAATATGATGAAGAAATGTGGAAGGGATGTTGTGTCTAACCAGGGAAAAATTAAGAGGAAAAAGTCAATAGAATTATTAAATTCAGAAATAGCATATTCCTATTCAGAGAATAATATTAGACTTTTAAAATTTCTTTTAATGTGTAGAGGCTATTTGCAGTAAGACAGGGAGGAGGGAGATTTTGTACTACAGTGGAACTTCTTAATACTCATGCTTAATTGGTTCCGGGAGTCACATTGAGTATTAAAAATGACAAGTAACACACAAATCATGTGATGTGCCACATAACGCTTTGTTTTGGCTGGGAAGAATGTCCTATCTGTCCCTTTTCCTATGTTAGCAACCTTCCCAGCATGGCCAACTTCCTGTCCGCCCTCTGTGGCTGTCCCCCACTGCCTTTTGCAGCATGTCGAATACCAAATTAAGATGAGTATCAGGACAACATTTTCACATCAAAATGTGTCGAGTATCAAATTTGACAAATTTTGAAGCAATTGAGTATCAAGGTACTACTGTATTATTTCTGATTCTTATAGTAATGACTAGAAAAATACATGTACTCCTACACATTTTTCTAGAATCATAGTGAGGCAGGATAAATGACTTCTATTTTCTTTCTTTCTTCCTTCCCTCCCTCCCTCCCTCCCTCCCTCCCTCCCTCCCTCCCTCCCTCCCTTCTTTCTTTCTTTCTTTCTTTCTTTCTTTCTTTCTTTCTTTCTTTCTTCTTGCTCCTACATGTCTTGACTTCCTGCTTATTCCCCTCATTTTTAGTAATATCTGCGTCAGTGATGGGAATAAAAATTTTTTACGATAGGTTCTGTGGGCATGGTTTGGTGGGCGTGGCAGGGGAAGAATACTGTAAAATCTCCAGTCAGAGATGGTATTTGCCGGTTCTCCAAATTACTCAAAATTTCTCCTACTGGTTCTCCAGAATTGGTCAGAACCTGCTGAATACCATCTCTGATCTGCGTCTATCAATTAAAGGTAATGGGAAGGCAGCAACTAATGGAAGTTTTCAGTAGTAGCTTAATCTTAAACATGATTTAGATTGTTACATTTAATTACTTCATTCAATTGAATTGAACTTTTTTTTCAAAAGCTATTGGTTTAAAATTAATTTTTTTAATTCTGTTAACCTATAGTAACTTGAGTAAACCTGCATATCACAAGTAGTTTTGTTAAATAGCAAGTTGAATTACCTCTGTGTTTAGGTTTTAGCCTTTAGAGAAGGTTTATTGGTATGTTCATACATAATTATTTAAAGACAAATGTAGAAGTTATTTGGTACAAACTGCTAAGGACTGTTCAGAAGTACTAGTTTTTCTTTAATAAATTGTAATTAGCTTCTCTGAAGTAAATAATGATGGATTTCTTAAATGAAATGTGTCTCATTTTTGCATAAAATTAATGAAGCAGAAAATGGCAGTTTTGGAATTGAGATTTTGAAATCACGATTATCTCTTCTTTTATTTAAAAAATACAAAGCTTGATATAAAAGATTTTATGTTACTGGTGAAAGAAACATTTTCATAGTTTTCTTGTATAATTTGTATTTTTAGTCAGAATCTAAGATATATAATGGATCAGAAAAGGACATTCCTGCTTCCTCTCCCACTACCAAACTCACAAAGAAGGAGTCCCTTAAGGTGAGTTATTTTCAGTATTAGAATACCCAAATCTTCATATTACACCTGCCCCAGAACACAATTAGTGGTAGATTTGGAAACTGTACTATGATGCTTCAGAAAATATTATTTATTTATTTGTTTGTATCCCATCTTTATTATTTATAACTCAAGTCAGCAAATCTATCCAACACACGTTCCTCCTCCTATTTTCCCTACAACAACCACCACCCTGTGAGGTGAGGTGAGCTGAAAAAAAATGACTTGTCCCAGCTAGCTTTTATGGCTAAGGCAGGATTTCCTGCTTTCCATACCGGTGCGTTAACCATTAAACCAAACTGGTTCTCACATAATTATGACATATAAAAGTTGTGCAATATATTCTTAATCATTTTTTTCATTATAGAAAGCTGTATCATATCAAATATTTATTATAGTCAAGGACCAATAGAATTAAAAATACTTAGAGTATTTAATTAAATGTGTTAGAATAAAATAATAACAAATAAAATCTATGTTAAAATCATAATTTGGCAGCCTGTCTCTTAGTTGTACATAAACAGGAGTGCGGCCTAAACTATAATGCAATATCAATCCTTAAATTGTGAAAGCCTATAGTTATTCGATATTAAGATACAATAAGGTGATCATATCAAAAGATTTAGTGCATTATTAATTATATAAAATGGTTATGATAGATTCATCAAGTTCCGATGAATCTTCAGTGCCACTGTGCAGAATCTAGCTACCTGCATTGTGACTCCAATCCATTCGTCTTTAAGCAACTCCTGAAGATAAAAGGTATCAGAACAGCCAGGGATACCTATTAGTTAAAGGGAAAATACATTTTGTTCAAAAGTCTCTATAAAAAGAGCAGTGAAGAAGGACATGTCCAGAGGTTTCCATCTCTCCAGAATCACTGGGACAGAATTCTTTATATTTGCCCTCCGGGACAGTTGAGGGGAGTACTTGACATCATGCAAGCAAAAAGGCTTTCCAGTGATTTACTATCTCTAACAAGCTAAGATAACTGGTAGGGGTGGCAGTATATCTAATATAATCTGGAGTCAAAAACAGTGGAGCTTTCTCCTAGTCTGCTTGCCCCACTATATCCTCTATCCTTTGTCTCAGGGTTTGTTTTGCCTAGTTATAGTCCAATTGAGAATGGAGAAAATCTAGTTTAGCAAGGTTGAACTCAACAGCCTTAATACATGAAGAGGAGAATTTATCTTGGAGGATTAATGATGCAAGGCCTTAAGAAAAGAAATTAAGTTTTAGCCAAATATTTAAAGAAACTTTACAGATTCAAATTTTATAAATTCTGTTCTCCAGGTGTAGGAGTACATCTAAAGCACAAACAATGAGGCATCTGGAGAATTGCTCTAATAAATTTGGATTAAACTCTTTGTAAAGGTGTAAAACAAGAAGCTTGGGTCTGAGCAGGGTTCCGTAAAGAAGCTGTGCTAGTGAATTGGCCTGGAAAAGCTTCATTGCAGCAGGAACAATCTTTCATTTAGTAAAGGCCATAACCTTAGTTTTTTGGTAGTTTATGACCAATTCATCATTATTACAAAACTGGACAAGGGTTCATAAGGCTCTTTTAAGATGTACAGGTGTTCTGGAGAGGATGCTTCAATATCCTATTTTGGGGGATAAGGGATAGAAACCTGGCAGTATATGAACTAGATTTATAAGCCTGCAGATAGAATATGTGCCAATTTTATTCATTAGATTAAACTTGTCAAATCTGCAGTCTGAAGTAACACCAGATATGAATTTTTCACCTCAGAAGGGCCACAAAGTTGATCTCATTCATTCTCTCTTAAGAAGGAAAAAATATCTATGGTCAGCTGCTAATTTAGCCATAAAAACCTATAGTTTTAAAGGGACGAAATTTATGAAAAACATCCCATTTTCACTCATAGGTAATATTAACACCACAGATGAATAGACTATGATGTGTTAGATTACAAAATAATTCATCCTCTATCTACAGTTGTAGAAACAATTGTTATAAGTGTCTTGCTTTATATAGAACAATCACATAAGTACAGTTGAAGACTATCGTTTTCCTTTGAATTTTGACTTTTAAGTTTGGAAGGATTTTTATAAATATTTTTGCTTGCTTTTGTAATTGAATTGCTAGAATAATCTTTGAGGTTAGATTTCATAATTCAGAGAGAGATATATCCCTTGATTAAAAAGAGGAAATAAGAGGGATAAGCTCACAGTTAAGTGGGACCAGCAGTAAACTAGTGGTAGAGGCTATTTAAGGGGTGATTCTTAAACTTACAGAAAGTACTGCAGACAAATTCTGATAAATTCAAATATACTTAAATTGTATGTGCTTATAGGTTCCTGATAAATGTGTAATGTAGCTAAGCCTGTAAACAATTTGAAAGCATGTAGATTTCTAACCTTAGATTAACCATACTTTAAGAGTCCATGTAAATGGACCTTTGTGATAAGTTGTAAATATGGCTGAAAATTAAAACCATGTATTCTTTCATATGAAATTGCCTGAAAAAGAACTTCTAATAAGTTCTTTTGTTAGACCTTTTCCTGTATTTTAACCATTTTCAGCTGGATATTTATTTTTATTTTCAAATTGATTGGATTCACTAACTTCTTTCCATTTATTTACTTTCTTTCCTTATTTCTCATTTATTCTTTACAGGTTCAAAAGAAAAATTACAGGGAAGAAAAGAAAAGAGCTACAAAAGAATTACTTAGCACTATCACAGACCCATCAGTCATTGTTATGGCTGATTGGCTGAAGGTGAGAAACTGAGATAAATAAAAAGCTGTAATTGCTGAATGTTTAATCTATAAGAAAACAAAAAAATTAAAATTGTAAACTGCTATTGTTTACTACTAATAGGGAATATATTAATTGTATCCCAGAGGTTTAATATTCAATACATAGAAACCAAATACATAGAAACCCAGGGAGAGACTTAGTTTGCTTTAACATGGTTGCCATAGTTACAGCAAATCTACAGCGATTGCGTTCGTAAACTCCCTATGTTAAATATGATATTAATAGAAAAATATCCCCCTTAATAACAAGCACCTGAAATATCACTGATGTAGTGAAATTTTAAAATAGTTTCCGTATTGCACATTTTCTTTTTTTTTTCTTGTTTACATGAGATGGTGTAAAATATTACGATTGTCACTGTCTAAAAATCAATGATGCTGTCAGATATGCCATCTTCAGCATACTCTGTTTTGCTGGCATCCTGCCATAAAATATGGAGGGGAGATAGAGATTGGGGAGTTAGGAGTGGGTGGGAATGACAGAGTGACAGGCACCACAAGTGTCAGTCCAGAACAGATTGGCCGATCAAGGGTGGAGCTGTGAGATCGGGAATGTGAAACTTCACCAAAAAGGCGCCAAACCTCAAGGTCCTTCCCAAAATATCTAATTCAAATATCATTGGACACTGACTGACTGACCAAGTGGAAAGGCCAGAGAAGAGGAAAAATTGCAGGATTTGTGTGGGAATATTCAGATCCAGCTTTACTTATGCTGTAACCACTTGATTTTGGTAAAAGTAAACTTTTCAATTCAAAAATGGAGTCAAGGGTCTTTATTTTCGAAATGCTCAAGTTGGGACAAACCTGACAGATGATGTGAATAATTAAGAGAAGATTGTGAATGGAATATGGGGATCAGATAATCCAAGCTATTTCGTATTAATGGTTTTTTTCCTATCATAGAACTATTAAGTAACATTGGTCAATGACATATATAACCTGGGATGTTACTATTCAAAATATAATTGTCTATATAGATAAAATAAAAAAGCATTTACATTTCTACCCTACTCTTTGTTCAGGTCACTCAGGGCACCATTTTATTTCTACATCAGTACTCAGAATTAGAATAAAAGAGAGATTTACTCAGGGTAATCGTTCAAGAGTTACCAGATATCTGAACAAGGAAAGGAAGACATGGACAATTGCAAAGCAAAGTAAATGGGAGGGAAAAGAAAGGCACACACTGTTTAATGTTTGTATTTACATTCATTGAAGAGGAAGGGAGTACAAGTAAGTAAAAAGGCACCCAATGATGAATACACATTGATAGGAATGTGCTAGCAGCTGCTGTTAACCTAGTGTCCTCACAGCTGTGAGTCACCAATCAGTAATGAGGCAAATGTGTTCAGGGAGAGTTTGTTAACTTGCAGATAGCACTTACTAGGGAGCCACAGCTCCATAAAGAAAAGCTGCTCAGTTAGATATTTAAAAAGCCAGACTAGATGTAGGAACTGAGGACAAAAAGTAGGACATGTTCTCCTTTTGCCTGACATCTTGTTATCCTGAAGTTAAACCAGAATTCACATTTACTCTTCCATTGATTGCCTGGCCTGAATTGGTATCAATTTCCCCTCTTTTCAGACATTGGAGTTAGCTAAGTACTTACACTTACTGTATGTATTTAATATAATGTACTATCTGAGAGTAGCTTTGTGAGCATTGCTACTTCACTAGAATTTAAAATAATTTTATAATTCTGAACTTGTTATATATTTTGTAAAAATCATGTTTTGCCTGGGAGTAAGAGACTGAAAAATACTAGAAATAATATATAAATATATATAATATAAATATAGAAATATATATAATATATATAATATATAAATATATATAAAATATATATTGTCCTCTTTTCTTTTCTTTTCTGGGAAGATTCGTGGTACATTGAAAAGTTGGACCAAACTTTGGTGTGTGTTGAAACCAGGAGTATTGCTAATTTATAAAACACCTAAAAATGGCCAGTGGGTGGGAACAGTACTTCTGAATGCTTGTGAACTCATTGAGCGGCCTTCAAAAAAGGATGGATTCTGTTTCAAACTTTTCCATCCTTTGGAACAGTCTATCTGGGCTGTTAAGGTAAGTGAGCTTGTATTCTTAATGGAGTTGGTGTCAACAGAATTTTATTATGTCACATTAAAACTCTGCATCATTAATGAATTCAAAATGCCTTTCAGTTGTCATAGATTGGTCCAAAAGAATATTTATTTTATAAAGTTGTCTGATCAGCCTAAAACTCTACAGTTCAGCTGTTCAGTTGCTTTGAATAGTTGAAAATTGAAAAGGAAGATCTGACCTTTTACTATGGATGGCAGGCAGACAATTGTTAGCGTTTATTTCTATTAACCTATTATTCAAATTATGGCACAGTCATAGATTTTAACAGTGCAAGACTTCCACTGTTAAAACTGTTTAGTATTGCTTTATTAAATTTCCATCAGACAAGTTGCTTATATTACATTGTATTTGATTTTTAAAAACAAAATCGCCTCTTTCTACTTATAGGACAATAAATAGTAGAATTGCTTTTTGCACCTATGGCTTCCTTTCTATGCATCCATATTTATTTGGGTGCAAGTATCTAAATGCAAATTCACTTTTGCTAATTCTGTTACGGTTGAGCTGCTTCTTTATTTCTATGGGGAAATAAGCATTCGGATGGAGTTGTCCTTGCAGTTCTTTCCATCAACTTGTTTATTTAAAAGTATTGTTGCTAATATATTTTGCTTATTTTTCATCCAAAACTGAATGGGCCATGTAGAGTTTCTTAAAGCTACTATGTTAAGGATGAAGTTATTTTTGAAATATTTACATTTGCTTTTGTGGGTTCAGTGAATGGGAAAGTAAAGACAAAATGCTCTCAAATTGATCTCAAGTCTTGATGACTATATCTGGTTTTTTTTTTAAGCAAGATAGAATAAATACTGCAGTTTATCATACTTTGTGATTTCCCTGTTTAGCCAGCAGTCACAAATAGTTCATTTATGCAGTTTTTAATCTGAATATAATTTGTTTAGCATTGAATAACATGCAAGGTTGGCTTGTACTGCCATCTGGTGAACTAGGAAAAGGGCACTTATAAGACCTAGTAAAAGGTTTTATCTTCATTAGCTATTGCTTGCTGATAAAATCATTTTTTTAAAAAAAAGCAGATAATTTATGGATAGAATGAATGCAAGTTGATCTAAAATACAATCGAATTAATATTGTTTTGTATTTTAAGGGCCCTAAAGGTGAAGCTGTTGGCTCTATAACTCAGCCATTACCCAGTAGTTACTTAATCATTCGAGCAGCTTCGGAATCAGATGGTAAGCATTTATTTTGTCTTCCATGAACAATTTTTTAATTGAGGATACTTGAGCCAAGTGCCATTGAGAATTGAATTTTAAAGTTTGAATAATATGTACATATTATGAACATTGTTTTAAGATTTCGTAAGTGATATTTTTTATTTCAAATGGAGAAGCAAGTAAAGCATTTTCTTAATTCCAACAAATTGAGGGATGATAAAGGTAGCTTATCAAATCAGTATTTATATCCATGTTTTGCAATATAAGTTAATTAGATAGCACATAAGCACAACTCAATAACTCTTCCTAACATAGGAACATTGTTAGGGCAATTGGATATATATGGCTTTATTTTCCTGACGCAATCTTACAGGTATATCTTATTTTATTGCTCTTCACTTTATTGCGCTTTGCAGGTACTACTTCCTCCTAGCATTATTCACGCACTATGGCAAGGTCCGCTTGCCCTTTGTAGATAATCTATATTATCTACAGAGGGCAAGAGGACCCTGACATACATATAAAGATCCCCCACCAGCAAAAAGATTATGACCCACTGAAGGCTCAAATTATGATTAGCACTTTTTAGCAATAGAGCAGCTTTTTAATTAAGGTATGTATAGTTTTTAGACATAATATTATAGCACACTTAATGGACTTCAGCATAGTGTAAGTCTAACTTTTATATGCACTGGAAAACCAGAAAAAATTGTATGAGTCAGTTTATTGCAATATTGGCATTCTTGTGGTGGTCTGGAACAGCAGGGGTAATCTCTTTGAGGTATGCCTCTGTATTGAACTGTTCTTATTATTAGGATTTTTTTCTAATATCTAGCCAAAATCTGCTTTCTTCTCATTTAAACCCATTGTTTCTTTTCCCATCTTTTAGCCCAGTTCTGCCTGACAGCCCTTCAGATACTTGAAGACTAATATCATGTCTCACTCTGGTCTTTTCTTCTATAGGTTAAGCATACCCCAACACCTCCAACAATTCCTCATCACTTTTTTTACTTCAAAGGCTATTAGCATCTAGATTTACTGTGGAACTAGAATTAGAAACAAAGTTGATTCTGACCAATCATAATAGAAAAGAATTATTATTTTCTGTCCATCTTGACATTATACTTTGGTTAATACAGTCCAGGATTGCTTTTTCGTTGTTTTAAGCTGTATTACAGAGTTGGTTCATAAGCAACTCATGATCTATCAAGACACTCAGATATATTGGCATATATTCAGGGATGAGATTCAATTTTTTTAACAACCAGTTCTGTGGGCATGGTTTAGTTGGTGGGTGTGGCTTGGTGGTCATGGCCAATTTGACATCACTCATGTAGAAGGGGCGCCTCTTCTTGCCTGGCCTCTCATGACAGTGGGGATGCTGCAACGGTCATAAGTGTGACAAATGGTCATAAATCACTTTTTTCAGTGTCATTGTAACTTTGAATGGTCACTAAATGAACTGTTGTAAGTCAAAGATTACCTGTAGAAAAATACAAAAATCTTCTTTGCTTGCTAAAAGCTGCCCTAAATACCAATCATTAGATTAAAAATACCTGCAAGCCAGAGTTACAAATCAGGCAGGTGCCAGAGCACTTTGAGGAATGAAAATAGTTAAAATGCAATGATAACTATCAGCACCCAACTCTTGCTCATAAAGTGAAACCCTTTAGCAGAGAGGTCATTTAAGCTCTCCAGGAAAAGCACACCCAGGAAAAGCAATCCTTAAAGAGACCAGCTGGTCTCACTCACTTCACAAGATATCCTAAGAAAATCATCCAGATTTAAGGAAAGGTCACATCATGCCCCCCAGAAAGGCAATAAAAAAAATCAATGCCAAGCTTGCATCCTGCCTCTTGGAAGTATACCCCAAAAGGACAGTGCCAGATAGCACTAAAGCAGTGAAGGAAGCCCCCCTCCCCAGATAGAAAAAGAAACCATGAGGCAGGAAAAAATTCAAACACGATACAAATAATTAAATCACAACAGTTGCTTGTTGAAGCTGAATAGGGAAAATTATCCCATCAATAAACACAGGATTAAACCTTCACTAAAAACCAGTTTTAGACCAAAACTCAGAAAGGGTATGTAAACTCACGTTTGAATGTCAATCTTTTTAGCTAGCCAAGAAGCCTTGCTGAAAGTCACTCATCTTGGTTCCCTGTCATTAAAAGCTTCTTTCTGACAGCTCTGCTTCATTATTCAGTTATTTCTTCAAAGTGCTGATTGTCCAGGGAAGTATTTCCTCCCAACAGCAGTGTAAAAATCTTAAAACGACCCTTCCCCTTTAAGAAAGTCAAACCCCAGAAGCTCCGGAGACAGGAAGTCTAGGCATACCAGCAAGAACATAATAAGGGTGGGAAAAAACAAAAGGAGATTGCTTCTAACTACCAGTTCTCCGAACTGCTTAGAAAGTTAACAAGGGGTTCTATAGAACCGGTCAGAATTGGTAGAATCACACCCCTGCATATATTCTTTCTTCCCACCCCACAATGAATTATATACTCACGACTTTGATATTTTCTAGGATAATGCATTTGTCTCTGTTGAAATTCAATTTCCTAGTTTTTGCCTATGTTCAGCTTTTTAGGTCTTTATGAATGTTGATGATGTTTCCAAAGTGATTGCAGTCATCCTTTGTTTCTGCTGTCTGCAAACTTGTTAATTCTACTTTCTAACCATTTTAACAATTGATAAATATTTTTAATTAGGGTATAGAATAGAGTTACTTAACACTTCTTCAACTTGATGAGAGGCCATTGACATTAGATGCACATTCTGCTTAGGATCGCTTTAGGGAGAATACTTAAAACAAAGTAGGAATTATTCTGTCCTCTCTTTGTCACATGTTAATGTCCTATGTTCTCCAAGAAGTAAGCCCACCTTCACATTTTCCTTCATTTTACTACTGACATAGTCAGAAAAACCACTTTTTGTTGCTTTTAGCTTATCCTGCAAGTTGTTTCTCTGTTTCTTTTCTTTAGCCTTACTGCAGTACTGATTATTTGTGGTAAATTCCTTTGGTGTTATATCCATCTTTTTCCTTCCTGATTCATTATTTTGTTGACACATTAAATCTGTTTTCTGCTTCAACTAAAATCTTAATTTTAATTTATTTTAATTATATTTGAAAGAACAAACAAAAAAATGAAAAAGCACCAATTTTTGCATATGTTCCTTTTAATTTTTAGCAGTGGAAAAATTTCTACGTATCAACAATGATTTCCTAATGCACACCCCTTCCCCCTCTCTAGAATATTGTGCAATTGTGCTGATTTTTTAAACATTCCCAGCTTTTCAGTGCTAACTTTGACTTGAGGATTTATCTCTATGGGATCCTACCTACTGTATTATTACTTAAAGCTTGTTGAAATTGGTTCTTCTGAAATCTAATGTGATTATGCTCTAATTTCTGTAAAACAGGCAGGGTTAAGAATGAGTTATATTACTGATTCAGTCAAACTCGAATTTGTATGTAATTCGAGCAAACAAAAAATATTTTCTAGTATTAAAAAGCTTTGCTCAATATTATATATCAGCATTCCCCAAACTTTCTGGGTTGACGGCCTGGTGCGGAGGGGGAAGGGGATAGTTTTGTGTGAGGAGCAGGCATGCACGCATATGTGTACACACAACTTTAGTTGTGTGAACGGTAGGCTTGTGCACCCACCACTCGCACAAGTGGGCCTGCGAACACTGGTGCTCACTGCTTGCGTGAGTGGGGCTGCCTGCGCGCATGCCAACCCATGCAGCCTGGTTGCAAATAGGCCACCGTCCTGTAGTGGGCCATGGCCTACAGGTTGGGGACCCATGTTATACATAAAACTGACAAATACTTGAAATGCAAATTCCCCTGTTGTGCTTTTCCTGTTTTGAATATTATACCCTAAAACATATTTATCTTTAGGTAGATGTTGGATGGATGCATTGGAGCTAGCTTTAAAGTGTTCAAGTTTGCTCAAACGTACAATGATTAGAGAAGGTAAAGAACATGAACTGAATTTAGCAGATAGTACACATGTGTCATTCTATGGCCTGCTACGTGCAAACAACGTTCACAGCACTGAAAGTTTCCCGTAAGTCCATAATGTTTGCTTGTTTATTAAACCATAGCTTGCCCTTCTTGGTTCATAGGAATCATCTTTTAAGGGTAGAGGTTATGTGTTATTTTTTTGTCTTCAATTTCCAAAGTAGAGTTTTGTTATAAAAATCACACAAGAAAGTATTTTAGTCCTACACCAAGGGTAAAATTTCAACTGTTTCTGTGTCCTAATATTTTCTATTGTGCTTTCCTTATCTATTATACTTAATGTATAGAATCCATATTTTAGAATGATATGGTAAGTGCACCTTTTCTTAAGTTGCCATAGTAGAGAAATATTGATATTATATTAAATCATGTGAGATTTATATGACTTTTCTACTCCCCACCCCGGAGTTTAAGGTGAGGTATTATTTTTAGTGAGTTTAAATCCTGTGGAATGTTTTTACTTATATTGACCACCAAGAGGCAATATGTGACCAGTTTTGCCTTATTTAGAACTCAACCATATAATATCTGATGAGTCTCAAATAAGAACAAAAGCAGTAATGAACCATCTCCTGGTGTTCAGTATAAGTAGATATTTAACTTATACCACTGCTATTTCCTATAAAACTAAGCAATATTTCATTCTCTATCCTATGCTGATAACCTACAATTTTATACTTATACTGTAGTATAGTTACATCTTTTTATGCTATACTAATTTCTTTATCCTTCCCAAGAAGTTCTAACACTGTCACTTGAATTGTGCTAAGTATATATTTAATAATATCCTTTTCTTCCATGATGGAAGAGAAAGCAGAATAGGCACTAAAAGCTGATTGAATGAGAATGGAAGGGTTTCTTCCTGAAATCTGCCCATGTGGCTCTTGGGGGATTTGAAGTAGTTTTAACTCCAAGATCAAGGAAAAGGTCTGGCGATGATATTGTATGAAAATTCGATGATAGCCAAATAAATTGTCCACTAGGTAGCCAGAAGTAAGGTGCAGTATTTTATGTTGGGTTCTATTAGTGTGCTACTGAGGTAGCTCACCCATTACTTCCAGCCTGATGCAGATTCTCTGCTGAAGGATCTCCACTCCTTGGGCATGTAGTCTGAATAGATTGAGAATTGACAAACATGCTCTTACCCCAAGCCAACATGTATTTGAAACCTCCGAAGGACAGTGTCTTAGATCTGTTTTTGGGCTCCAAGCAATTAATATATGATCTGAAGTGGAAGACAGTATCATTCTTGTGTCATAGTCAGATCACTCACACTCAGCTTCTATAAACCTCTGTATGGCAGATGCCATAAGATTAAATTAAGGAGTTTCCCTGCAGTCAGGTGAGTATCTACATTAGGCACTTAGTCATATTCTGGAATACAGAGGAAATAAAAGCATGGTTACTTGCATTTAGTAGCGTAGACTGATAATTTTTGAAGAATCTATGAGGTTTGTGGTGGGGAAGGAGAAATAGAAAGAAACATTTTATATTTCAGTGTGGAGTACTCCAGAATTCAGCTTGCTTCCTTATTCTCTTCAGTTTTTGTGTGTTTTCTAGAGTCTTGGATGGGGTAGAACAAACAGACTGAATCCCAACAAATCAGAATTGCTTTTGGTAAAATGGCACATAGCACCATTAGTAAAGAGCCACAGTGGCACAGAATGCAGTACTGAAGGCTACCTCGTTGACTGCCTGTAATTTGTCAGTTCGGATCTCACAGGCTCAAGGTTGACTCAACCTTCCATCCTTCCAAAGTTGGTAAAATGAGGACCCAGATTGTTTGGGGCAATATGCTGACTCTAAACCACTTAGTGCTGTAAAGCACTGTGAAGGGTATATAAGTTTAAGTGATATTGCTATTAATGCTCCATCTGTGATCTTGATAGATTTTCTGAAAGACCAGTGATAAATCAGAAAATCCTGCTGGGCTCTAGGCTCTTGCAAGAATAGCGGGTACTAATGTGGGCATCAAAAGTGGTCTGCCATTGTGATCTCTTGGGTAAGAAAGTTTTGTAGACAGTAATTCAACAGATTACTGCAATTAACTCTACAAGGGGGTTTCTTTGAAGATAATTTGGAAGCTACACCTGAAATGTAATGTGGCTCCCTAAATGTTCACTGATGCTAAGCAGTTTAGTAAACACAACACAATCCCTTAGCATAAATACTACTTTACTAAAAGTAATATTTATGCTAAGGGATTGTGTTGATGGCCACTAAGTTTTCAGTTCCATCTCAAAGTATATAAAGCCTGTATAGTTTGGGCCCTTGCTACCTTCAGGACCATCTTCTTTAGTTGAAATTTGTTTGGCAACTGTCACCTTAAAGGGACAACTACAGGTCCTGAAATTGACGAATCAAGGGACAGGGGCCCGGAGGATGACATTCTCAGTAGTAGCTGCAGCAGCTTGCTCCTTATTAAAATGGTGCTGTTCTATAGACCCTTTGATGTAGAGAGCCCAATTCAATGAAAAATAATGGTAGGTTTTTAGTTAAGATTCTGATTCTAGTTCTATAATAATAACTGCATGGAATCTAGCAAATAGATGACATAAGAATGAATGAATGAATCGTATACAGCCTTGGCCATCAAAATGTTGCACGGCTATAATCTAAACTAAGACTGCAGCTTTTGATGTTATGGTATCTTTCCATGGTAATGTGATGGTTAAAACTGGAGGCATTGTAAAGTAAATTCCAATAAATGATTATAGGAATTTGTCCCTGTACTGACTTATGGTAAGCAGGTTTCAAGTTCATTCAGATTGATTTTTAGATGAAAGTTATTTTTCTTAATTGTTTCTTTTCTTTTTAATTATTTTTTTTATTTTGGTAAACTTGGAATGAAAATGAAAGGTGGCTTAAAACTACCATATGATAAACACTTCAGAAATTAAGGTGAATAAATGTGACTCAGGGTATATAAAAATTCACTATTGTTTTGCAAATAAGTTGTCAAAGGGAAACAAACTTGGCCTATATTCATGCACTCTCAGGTCTTTATTTCAATCTGGACAATAGCAGTGATGATTGGTTAAGTTAACTTTTGTGTCACAATGCAAGTACTTTCAGTCATTTTATCTGCTTGTGTCATTCAGTTCAAAGAGAAATTATCACAGTGGTTTCTTTAAATACCCTGTTATTTATATATAAATACTTGTATGTTCACTAATATTAATGTATTTAAGAAGAAATTATTTTGTTCACCAATTGTTAAACTAGGGACAACCCTAGGTAATTACCTGTATACTCTGCATATAAAATGTAAATGTGTTTTAACATCTAAAACTGGGCGTATAGCTTGTTTTCCTAAATCCTGGAAAGATTTACTCTGTGAAATAAGGTATGGTGAATATCTAAAAAAGAAAATCATACGTGATTGCATTTAAGCAGTAGTTCTTTCATTCTTTAGTATATTTATATGTTCAACTAAATTGAATGCTGTAAGATGCTGTTTAAAATAGCGATAAAGATACAAATGAGAATGGAAAATAATATGAATTAAGTTCAGAGATTCTTATCATTAAATTGAATACATTAAATTGAATTACAAGTCCCAGTGATTTAATTGTGCTTAAATTTTCCCAATAAAATTAATTTGAATGAAAAGTGCTTACATTTAATTTCATTGACATTTTGGTAATATTTACTGAACAAATAGTTCAGTAAATGATTTTTCAATAAACAAAAATTCAGTGAAGTAACAAATTAACTAAGTGTACTATTCTTTACTAAATAAAATATTAACACTTCTCTTTTTAATAGGTTAAATGACAGTGAAATTGAAAGACATCATTTTAAAGATTCAGATATGTACTCTGATAAATCAGATAGAGAAAATGACCATGATCATGATGAGTCGGATAATGATGGTTTGGTAGAAAGTGACACAGATACATCAGAGAGACAGGATGATTCATATATTGATCCTGAACCTGATCATGTAAAGGAAACAATTTACGTAGAAGAAGACAGTGAAGAACTAGGGGAGGTAATAAGTTATATTTTTACTTCACAATATTTGAATTGTAAAATGGCTTTGTTTCCATTTCATTTTTTTATCCACTATTGTTATGTGGTAAGTCCATTTTAGAACTTCTTGTAAAACTGATAGAATAAAATAAAATAAAATAAAATTAATAAGATACTGTGTTTCTCCTAAAACATGACCCATCCCAAAAGGCCCAGCACTATTTTGTGCGCATACATTAAAATTAAGCCCTACTCCCAAAATTTGGCTCTATTTAAGCGCATATGGGGCCAGTCCCTGTCAATTTCTCACATTGCTTGCAGTGCGGACAACACGGGGGGCAGGGCGGAGAGGGGGGAAACTTGCCCCACACGCCTTGCCTGGCCACTGGGCTGTTTCAAAAAAGGAGATTTAAAAATCTCTCTTCCCCCCCCCCCCTCTCTCTCACACACACACACAGATGCATGTTCATATTCGTGGACGGGTTGAAGACCAAATATTGCAACTTCTAGGACAATCTTGAATTTGAGAAATAAAAGATTTATCATTTTGCTTTATTTGTGCCTCAGGAAATATTTCTGGTTTTACTTTAGTTGCGGTCTTAGATTGGTCTCCATCAATTCTATATATATTTCTAAGGCCGCAACTGAAGTAAAACCAGAAATATTTCCTGAGGCAGTAATAAAGCAAAATGATAAATCCTCTACTTCTCAAATTCAAGAAGTTGTAATATTTGATCTAGTGCAGGGGTCTCCAAACCCTGGTCCACAGACTGATAGGAACCAGGCTACACAAGTGGTGGCAGAGTCATGTGCAAGCAAAGCTGCATTTGTACAAACAGTGCACATGCATGCAAAACCATCCCCTTCAGTGGTGGGATTCAATTTTTTTACTACCGGTTCTGTGGGCGTGGCTTTGTGGGCATGGTTGGCTTTGTGGGCGTGGCAGGGAATGGATACTGCAAAATCCCCATTCCCTCCCCCATCCCACTAACCTGCTTTCCAGTTCCGTTTTCCTGTGCAAGGCAACAAAAGAAGACCCAGTCAATCAGCTGGCTCGGGAGGCAGAGAATAGATGGTGGCTGGGCCAGTCAGAGGTGGTATTTGCTGGTTCTCCGAACTACTCAAAATTTCTGCTACCAGTTCTCCAGAACTGGTCAGAACCTGGTAAACACCACCACTGTTCCCCTCCTCCTCCCCACTGCTACCACTTCCAGTCTGCAGAGCCGAAAAGATTGGGGACCACTGGTCTAATAATTAAAGCACCAGATTAAGAAGTGGGAGACCATGAGTTCAAGTCCCACCTTAGCCATGAAAGCTAGCTGGGTGTCTTTGGGCCAATTATACACATTGTCACCCCAACCCACTTTACAGAGTGGTTGTTATGAGGAAAATAGGAAGAGGAAGGTGTGTTGAATGTGTTCACCACCATGAGTTATTTGTAAAAATAATAAAGGGAGGAAATAAATAATACATGTTATGATATGGCTGCTACATCCCATTTTTTTTCTTAGTATGCATTGTTTCAAATGCTACATATTGAACTACCATCGACTATAGGGCCAGTGTGATGTATGGTGGCATACTTCATTTGTTTCTTCAACATTAAAGTCACATGAATTTGCATATTGTCTCTTCTTTTTCATCTGAAGTCCCATGTTTAGAAAATGGATGGGTAAGACAAACCATTAGGAAAATATGGCTTTGAAGCCATGAAGAATCTTTGAATCCCGTATCAGAGTAGCATGGGCAAATGTTTGGGCTGTTATATACCAAACTAAAAATGTTGTTTAAATGCATTAATATATTTTAATATATGCTCTTCATTCTATTTGCATTTTGCTAAAGGCAGGAGAAGCTTCTCAAACAGAGATAGTTTCAGAAGAGAACAAGAGTTTGATCTGGACATTGTTGAAACAAGTACGCCCTGGAATGGATCTCTCCAAAGTGGTACTACCTACATTTATATTGGAAACACGCTCTTTCTTGGACAAACTCTCTGATTACTACTATCATGCAGACTTCTTATCTGAGTGAGTTGTTTTTATTCATGTGCAATAAGAACTATCTTGATGCATCATGTAATTCAGTACTATAATAGTGGCAAATCTGAATTTCTTTTAGTTTGGGTTTCTTAGATAAAATAATGCCTCACACCATAAATGGGACTTAGAGCCACATGCTTCCTGGCCTAATTTCAAAACTTGACTGCAAATGATGAATTCCTATACTCTGGTGTATACTGTATATCCCTTTCCTGGCAGCCTATTACTTGGGAAAAATAAACTTAAAAATGAAAAAGGGAAACATGTAAGAGCTTATACACATAGAACACTTTTAGCTATGCAGGTAAAAATAAAGAACTGTACAACAATTAGTAGAAAAACATGGAAATATTTAGAGTTGTAACAGCACAGTTAGGGAAAGTGAATAGCAGGGTTTTTAAAGTTGTGTTCCTTAGAACCTTAGGGTTTTGCAAGAATTTGATTATTTCCATAGGAGACTAAGGGTGGAGGGAATCATTCCTAGGCAGCCATTTTTCTATCTCACTGATATGTCTGATTTTTCAAAGAAAAGGTTGCTTCTAATATTTAATTAGAATGATTGGCAACCCATCTACTTTGACTTGTTTTTCTAAGTGAAGACCAATCTCTCTTCTGCAATACACACATAAGGTTAACTCTGTGAAAAGTAATATCACAAATAATACTCTTATTTTTTCCCCTCTCATAGAGGAAAATACATTTCCCATTCGCGTTTCAGGATGAGATGCAGATTTTTGCTTCTATGTTAGCAGTTTAGAATACTTTAATAATGTTATACAACTTTTAAATTAGTTGGTGTTCTCTTACCCAGTTTTATTTTTATCAGTTTCTTTTTTTTTATTTTACTGTATGTTTGTAGTACAGCATTCTGTTTTTAGAAATATTTTAATTGTGGATGTTGTGGTTCCTACCCAATGGACATATTAGTTCCTGAATCTGAAAAAAAGTGACAGTCAAAAAGTTGCTTGTTATTGATTGTCAAATGTTTCTATAAGGCAGTTATTTAGGAACTACTTACTCATCTTTGGGCTTGTCTGTAGGAACACAACCTTCACAATTTTTATAAAATGGATTCCGATGTAGTTCAATCAACACTTGATGTCATTTCCTTGAGATTCTATTTTTAAGCTATCTCAAATTGCAAAATAAAACAAAGAATACGACTGCAGAAATAAAATTCTGAATCAAGCTGATTACATTGCAGCATTGGCTATAGAGAATTTGGGAAATCACCCTTAAGTCCTGGTGGAAAAAAAGTATTTGAAAGGGACTCAGATAGGCTCATCCCCGATTAACTGAGATGAGGTGAAAGGGAGAGAAAGCATAATTGAGCTTGCAAAGCTCTTATTATTATAACAAGTAAAATAAATATATAGTGTAGATTTGAATTGTAAAAATCAAATAAAAGAATAATTTGTGTACAAAAAATACACCCTTATTCAAGTGTTTTCTATAAAGTATTCATAGCTACATCGGGTTATTACAGTTATTTCAGTATCCATCGGATTTATACATTTTATTAGTCAGGTTTTTTTGTTTCTTTGGCTACTCTCACTGTTTGGATTTTCAAATATTTAACAGTACTTTAAACCAGGGGTGTCAAACTCAAGGCCGGATCCAGCTTAAATCTGGCCCATGGGCCAGCCTGAAAATAGCAAAGGACCGGCCCGTGGTGTCTCTGGCAGTCAAAATGGGGTGGGGATAGGCGTTTTCATCCTGGATGGTCTTCTGCAGCACTTTGCTGGCCAAAATGGGGCACGAGGCACACGGGAGGCTGGCAGGGCGCTGCAGGAGGCATCCGTCCCATCTGCCCCTCTCCAGCTGGCCTGCGGGGGAGAACTACAATGCTGATCCGGCCCTCAAAAGAAATCCAGTTTGACACTCCTGCTTTAAACTATCTTTGATAGATTGTAGTAATTCTTGAAACTTCTCCCCCAACGTTTTTTAGAGAGATTAAGAATATATTTCCTTCACTTCTCAAATACTTTTCTAGTTGCATAGATTTCATAATTGCTATTGGTTCATATCCACAAGGTGTGAAACAGTAGAGCAGCCTTCCTAGCCTTTACAATTATTAAATGATTTATCACCTTTTGTGATCCTGGGATTTTTCACAAATGTAAACTGGTTAAGCTGAATTTACATCTGGGTTTGGTGGTTTGGCGACCATGGTCTAGACAGGAGCTTTATAAAGACAAACGTCCACTCAGTTGCTTGTGGTCTGCTTAGCAGATCACCTTGCCTCTGAAGATGCCAGCCACAGTTGCCAATGAAGACTTAGAAAAAAAAATATTGACTAAATCAGCCGCTTTAAACTAAACATTGATTAGGGTTAAACAAGAACAATTAGGGGCCTAGAGGCTAAAACATATGAGGAATGGTTACAGGAATTAAGTATGTCTAAACTCTAATGAAGATAAGGACTAGGGGAGACATGATAGCAGTGTCACAATATTTGAGGGGTTCCTACAAAGATCAGGGCTCAACGATTTTCCAAAGCACCAAAAGACAAGATAAGAAATAATGGATGGAAAGTAACCAAGGAGAATGCAAACCTAGAACTAAGGAGAAATGTTCTAATGATGAGAGTAATCAACCAATGGAACAGCTTGCCTTCAGAAGCTAGGGTGCTCCATCTCTGAAGGCTTTCAAAACAAGACTGGACACCATTTATCTGAAATGGTATACAGTCTACTGCTTGAGCAAAAGGTTTGACTAGAAGACCTCCAAGGTACCTTCCAATGCTATTTTTCTATATTGTATACATTTCTTATTACTGTGTTTGAATATGAAACTCTTATATGGTTTGTTACATTGATGTGGATAAAATTTAATATATTTTGATTATAAGTCTGTAATTTTTTTTTTAGAGCTGCCCTTGAAGAGAATGCTTACAATCGAATGAAAAAAGTTGTGAAGTGGTACTTGTCAGGATTCTACAAAAAGCCAAAAGTAATACTTTGGTACTTTTTATCTAGTCCTTGGTTTTTAGCAGCTTTTCTTCTATTCATGTTTGTAGAGTAAAATGCTCCCATTCAATTTAAAATTAATGGGTTCAGGAGGCAATTTCCTATTAAGTAAATACAATAATTATAAGCATTTCGTTACAGAGTCTTCAAAATGTTTTTGCTTATTAAAGCTTGTTTTGCTTATTAAACTTTTTTGGAATTAGAATGTATTTACAAATATTGTCTATCTTTCAGGGACTTAAAAAACCTTACAATCCTATACTTGGTGAGACTTTTCGTTGCTTGTGGATTCATCCAAAAACAAATAGCAAGACTTTTTATATAGCTGAACAGGTACTGTGAAAATGTAATCAAAATATGTGAAATATGTATGAAAAACTATAGCAGCATTTTTTAACATTTACATTTGATTACATTAACTCAGAAACTATACCATAATGATTTAATTTTATGACTTTTTTTGCCATGGCTGTTAAGTGAACAACACATGGTTATTTTTTCTCTGTATTTTCTGACCATAAAGATGGCTTTTCTGGGATAGCCACCAAAGCCCACAGATGTTAGTGAACTTGGTACACAGGGATGATCTGGTTGAAAGACAAAACAATTTTCCACCTGGATGTATCTAAGGATATCTCTCCATTTCACAAATCCCAGGATGCAGTTCTACCATTTTTTTTCTCCCACCTGTTGATCTTAGCAATAAATCATAGCTCTCCAAACACTTAAATCTGTTATAAAGACTTTGGCTTGACTTAGCAGAAGGTTGTCAGTTATGGTTTGATAGATTGAGTCTACCTCTTCCTTGACAGGAATGATACCTTAAACGTACAGGGCAAAGAATTCAGACTTCATATACATGTGCTCCAGAGTTTGAAATCTCGGCTTCATCTGCCTGTCTTTCCAAATAAAATAATACTTGGTAGCTTTAAGTAGCTGATAAATTTCTTTTTTAACTGATCTCTCTAAACTGTTAACTCCCATCTTACCAGCTTCAGTCGTTACAGCAGCTCCAATGGGGTTTTATTTTGAAATTTACGTTTCATGATTTTGATGTTATGCATAAACTAGCTCTTTTTGCATCTGGAATACAATCATTTCAGTAATTTGAACAGCATTGTGATCATCCTGTCTCCTTTCAGTTATTTTCATATTGAAAGCTGATTTTACTTGTTTCTGTTCAGAATATTCTGAACCAGTACTGTTTTATCATGGGATTAGTTACCCACATAAGCTCATTATTCTGCTATGGTGTTTTACACACAGAATAACAGAAAGTTGCCTGCCAATCACTGTGATTATTTCAGCAGTCACCAGTATGACCTCACATCCCCTCCTGTCTTTGTTTCAACAGGTTGTTTTACTATAATCACATAGGGGCAAACGGTAATGAAGATGAGCAGATTTTGGTGTGCTAATGGTGTTTATATAGTTGAAAATGAGCTACAGCATCTCAGCTAATCTAGAAAAGATTTTGGAATGTTATCTGGCATAAGATCAGTGTAAATGCACGGATGGCTACTAGAATAGATTTAACACTCTCTGAATGCACTTGGGGGTTTTCCCATATCATCTGCTGACGGTGCCATTTGAAACACAAAGTGATCTGACATGGAAATATAGCTGAAAAGTTGATCCTATTGTTTTTGATGCATTCTGCCCACACCCAAATTAGCCTCTTGATTACTTAGGCAAGGGCAAGTTATGAAGAATCAGGAGGACCACTGAAACATAAGTATTGCATGTAACATTTCAAATTTGTTGAACAATATGTTCAGTTAGTTAATACTTACATGAACAAGAACATACCTTTTGGTTTTGACAAAATATTATTTTATGAGTTTCTGGTGTGATTTTTTTGCATTTAGCTGGCATTAGGACATGTGACTGGAGATTGTGTGGATTTCTGCATAGCTAATTTAGTGTGTACGTGAAAGCACCTCAAACCACAGAAGGGAAGAATGAGAGCAAGGCTTAGTACAAATAAGATACAACATAATCTCAAGGCCAGACAGAGTGTCAACAACAATAACAAAGCATAGCAACAAACACTGTTTCAGAACATTGCAGGAAATAATGACAATGCTATCAAAGGTTTCCTAACAACAACAAAAACAACAACATTAAGGTCATGATGAATACCAAAAAGCAACAAGGAAACAGTCAAAACTAAAATAATAGAAATGTTATCCAAGATCCACTTAAGCAGATATAAGGTTTCTGGATATTATATGAGTGGAGCCATGCAGATCTGGGTGGTAAAAATCAGAGGAATGTGATAGTGTCATGTCCTGTTGGAATCTGATTCGGAGGGGGAGGCTGAGCAGCTGACTGGGACTGTAGTGTGGCTCCGTTGGTTGTGGAAGAAACTTGGGAAGGGCAAAGGCTGGCTGGGCAGAGCAGGAGAGAGGTAGAGCAAGGGAGAGGAAATTCGGAGGAAAACCCAGGCCCACCCCCTTTTCATCCTAGGGCACTCAGGGAGGAATGGAGAAGGGAGCAACGTGAGTTGCAAGGTTTACGGGATAGGAAAGGGCCCTGATTCCCTTCATTAGCAGCAGCTGGGAACACAGTGTTTAAAAAGAGAAGCTGCGAACAGCAAGTTGTTGGGAGCAAATTGTGAATTATCTGGTATTATCGAGGCTTATCTGGGTTCCTGGCATTTTTCCAAGTGTGTGCGTTTTGCTGGGCTTTCAAGTCTGCAATTCCTTCTCCTGCCCTGTCAAGTTAATTACTGCAGCTTGGTTTGTGTGGATTTTTATTTACAGTTTGTATGTACTTTGTTTTCGGACTGAATTTCCTCCACTGAAAGACTGTTCTTAGGAGAGTTTTTTCTCCAGCCGAAGGTAACCTGGACATTGGGGGCAAAGTTGGAGGCACTAAAGGAACTTTAGTACTTATTTGACTGTGTTGCCTTTGTGCCACGCCCCGAGTCATCACAGATAGCACCTTTTCCAAGTGCAGGATCAGATTTGTACAAGTTCTAAAAAAACAAAAGGAACCAATCAGAAGTAGGAATAGTGTAAATATGTGTACAAGAAAAAAGATACTATTCTGACGAAGGCTTCCTGAGACAGTAACAATCAAACGCTGTTCCCAAAATCCTTTTTTATTTAAACAGCTGTGAATTATATGCATTCACAGCCCGTAATGAGTCCCAAACAGTTTATGAATAGTCCAACAGAAGTCTGCCGCAGTCTTTCGGGATAAGGCTGATAAGCACCCACCTTTATCTCCCTTGAAATGCTGCCAATGACTACATTGCCAATTAGCTGTACAAGGCCAAACGGAGCACAAAGTCAGCATGGAGCTTCAGATTTTAAACCGACCAGAACGAACAAAGTTAATTCCTGCAAAGGCTCATGTCCCTTTGCTCCTCCTTTATGCCTTATGGGAGGGGCCAATTATCTCCAAGCCTTATTCCTGAGTTGCCCCTTTTGTCTTAACTGTTCTTGCCTTCTGGCAGCTCTGGAAGCACGCACTGGGAACATGCTCCCCCTGTTCCTCTGCCTCATTGATATCAGATTCTGGAGGCTCCAGAGTCAGCACATTACTCTCAGATGGCCCTGGCCCCATCTCTCTGTCGGACGCAGATCCCTCATCCAAGCCCTCCCCAGACTCCAGGACTGGCTCATGTTCCTCCCCGCTGTCCGACTCTGCTGCCAGCTCTGCAGGCCGTCGGCAGACCACAACAGATACCCCAAAATAAGAAGCCTATAAAAGCTTTTAGTTCACAGAGGAAGAGCAGGAAACTATTATCATCTTAGGTATATAACAGGGCTAATGTGCAGTCAATATGTATACAGCATATTTAAGAGGGATTCTGCCTTCATGTGCTGTGATATAAGACTCATTTGAAAACTACTTTTAGGCATCAGTTTATTTGCCTTCAGAAAGTGTAGATATTTCTGTTTAGACATCATAGTGTTTAAGGATTTGTATTTACTTGATTCTGTATTTGTACTTCATTTTGTATGTTGAACATTCAGTTTAAATTGATTAAAAGGGCTTGTTTTTTGAAGTGCATGAATAAATACAGATGTTAGTTGGTGTTTTAATTGAAGGCCATAACAAACAGTTAAGTAATGCCTGGAATGCAGAGCACAATTAGGTATGTGAGAATCACAACTAACCTACCTACAGTCAAGGAAAGTATTTTAAACAAAGTATCTTTCATCAATATTTTGGGACATGTGTTTTGTTGATGAGTATTTGTTGAATTACAATTGAATTTATGTCTTTTGCTTATTTCTACTGATTTTCACAGCAGGTCACTTACACTATTGCTTTTAACAGGTGTCTCATCATCCTCCAATATCTGCCTTCTATGTAAGCAATCGAAAAGATGGATTTTGCCTTAGTGCTAATATTTTGGCCAAATCCAAGTTTTATGGTAAGTATCATATTTAAAAGCTTTCATTATATTCAGGAAATACAAAAATAACTTTTTTGTGAAGGATTTGTGATGAATGCAATTGATATTTTTTTTCACTACTAAAATAGATGATATAAACTGTGAGATGACAATTCTTTAGTCTGGCACATCTTTTCATTTTCTAGGATGTAGGTTTTTTTGAGTCTTTCATTTTTGTGTTTTAGGAAATTCATTATCTGCCATTCTGGATGGTGAAGGACGACTAATGTTTCTAAACAGAGGAGAAGACTATGTGATGACCATGCCATACGCACACTGTAAAGGTATTTACTTCTATCAAGAGTTTTTAAATACCTATTTGGCTTATCAATCAGGCCTCTGATGATACTTGGGACCAATTTCCTACTTGTTAAATATCACTTAACTTTAAAAGGACAAACTGTTCTTGCAAAGTGGTTTAGTATAATAAGCAGAAGAAATAACTTTCCTTTTCAGTGCCGGATTAGCAAACAATAAAATTGAAACCATACATGAAATGCATGTGATAGCTGACCTGGATTGGATGGATTAGACTCTAGGCTCAAAATGGGCCCAGCTTTTCCCAACCATGTATTCAGTTGTGGAATAAAAGGATAGAGATGACTACATTGCATTTGCCTGAATTCTGAATACAGATCTGGCCAATACTGAGGGTATATAATCTTGGGTTAAGAGTAATGGATGGATTCTACTTATCTAGTGAGTATTTCAGTGTCTTGCAGAATCTTTGACAATGGCAAATCTGGGCTATCCAAATTGATTTCAGAGTCAGCATATGTTGTTGGTCGCACATTTGATTTGATATTTTGCTTTGGCCAGAATAGTTAATGGGAGAATTCCAATTCCTTTGTATAGACTGACCACTATCTGGTTAAGATCAGATTTATAATCACCCTTTAGCTCCTTAGAAATAAAGGACCAGTTCATTCAAAAGAACTTGGGCAGTGATTTGTAAGCTAAAAATTAATAAATATTATGAAATTCTGAAGAGAATTTTAGGAGTTTAGTGTTCATTCTACAAATAATTGTCACAACCTTAATTTATCCCTAAATGCTGTATGGGCTATAGAGGCAGGAAAATTGCTAGAGTGTCCTTGCAGAAGACTTGTCTTCACTCTGATAAGGTACAGAATAGAACCACGCTGAGTCAATACATACACAGAAAAAGCATTTTTTTCTCACTGCATCTGCAGTTATTAGTAATTAGAGCTGTGAGAATTAGAGCAGTCAGAATTAGAGCAACAATATTAAACCCCTGTGGTTCTTTCAACTAGTTCTTTGCTGGTAAAATCTGTCAGGTTTGAGGTGACTTGGATACTCTAGATTCAGTTAGAAATTGAGTGTCCTCATATGTGATTAAAAAGGATAGATTTGAGTTGATAATTCCTGAGGATGCTTTGGTGAATATGATCTACCAGATGTCCCTTTGACCCCAAGGGAGATTCAGGGAGCTACCTTGGTAAATTCACAGATGCAACATTTCTTTCTCTTTAATGAGGGATTTATAAGACCACTACTTAAGGAGATCTTCCTTGAGCCATATACAATTGGAAGCCCAGAAGCATCCACAGAGGGGGCAAAGAAGATGATAAGTATGATGGTCACCATCAAGACATAAGTTCCAGCTATTTTCTACATGTGTCACAATGTTCCATGCATATCCAAAAGAAATGGAGTTTGCACTGCAATACCAGAACACTGCTTTCATCGTTATGACAAAAAGCTACAAAAGTTTTTGGACATTCTGATAAAATAGATCCTATCATAGTTGTACAAAATAATTAACAGGATTATGGCATTTCAGTTTCATGTAGGCCTATAATAAATTTTATTAACTGAAGCCATTTCAAACTAGTTTTAGAGAAGCTACAGGATTGAGACTAATTAAGTCAAATGGTCTTTGTTACCATTCACCAAGGCATTCTTCTAGATCAGGGGTGGGCAAACTACGGCCCGCGGGCCACATCCGGCCCGTTGGTCTGTCCAATGCGGCCCGCCCCTGAAAAAAAATCGCTTCTATTGGTCTGTCCAATCCGGCCCGCCCCTGAAAAAAAATCGCTGGGCGTGGCGTATTGCCCTGTGCCGCGTGGCCCCCAAAGCTGCAAAGCAGTGCGGAGCGATCTAGGGGTAGGAAAGAAAAGAAATTTGCAAAGGCCTCGGCTGGGAATTCGAAATCACCTTCGAGTGCGACCTCTCCGAAGGTGAGTCCCCGCCGATCCCCCCTTTTTTTTCCGGGGCTTCCAGGCTTAAACTTTGCAAAGGCAAAGCTTGCAGGCTGGAGCGTCTTCCCGCCGAGGAGCGGGAAGGGTTCCACCCGGCGGGCGGGGCGGGCTGCTTGGAGCCACCTAAAGCTAGGCCGCTGCTGGTGGAGCCTTGCCCTGCCTTGGTGCCCCGTTTCCCGGCTTGGCGGTCCTGCTTGGGCGGCACTTTAAAAGCCTGCTCCCAGCACCCGAGCAACTTCCCAGCAACTTTCGGCTTCCTTTTAACTCGCGGGCGCTCGCGCCTGGCCCCGAGCCTTGTGGCAGAGGGGAAGCCCGGCGGGCGGGCGGGCGGGCGGACTGCTTGGAGGAGGCTCCGGGCTTCCCCTCCGCCAGGCACAAGCGCCTGCGAGTTAAAAGGAAGCCGAAAGTTGCTGGGAGGTTGCTTGGGTTTCCGGGGCTTCCAGGCTTAAACTTTGCAAAGGCAAAGTTTGCAGGCTGGAGTGTCTTCCCGCCGAGGAGCAGGAAGGATTCCGCCCAGCGGGCGGGCTGCTTAAACTTTGCTCGGGCGGCACTTTAAAAGCCTGCTCCCAGCACCCGAGCAACTTCCCAGCAACTTCCGGCTTCCTTTTAACTCGCGGGCGCTCGCGCCTGGCCCCGAGCCACGCGGCAGAGGGGAAGCCCGGTGGGCGGGCAGGCTGCTTGGAGGAGGCGACCCGGCGGTGCTCCGGCAGCAGCAACAGGCAGTTTCGCCCGGGCTCCGCTCAGGTGTCCGGCTGGGGCTGTCAGGAGTTGCTACCGCCGGCGCAGTTCCGTGCGGCTCCAGTCCTGCATTGCCTTGGGAAGGAAAAGGCAAAACCAGGAGCCGCTGAGCCTGAGCCTCCGGTGCCGCTGCTCCCATTGCAAAGCACCACCGCGGCTCTGCCTTTTTGCCTTTCCCTTCCCAAGGCAACGCGGGACTGGAGCCGCGCGGAGCCGCGCCGGCGGTAGCAACTCCTGACTCAGGGGGCCTCCGAGGGGAGGGGAAGGAGAAGAGGGGGGGAAGGGTGGGGGGGGCGATTCCCAAAAATCTTGTGCTGACCCGGCCCGTCTGTCAAATTTTAAAAGTCAATGCGGCCCCCGAGCCAAAAAGTTTGCCCACCCCTGTTCTAGATCATGTGGCATTTTTAAGAACTGGGAACATTGCTGTGGTTCCACTCCTGTGTATCAGAAAGGTTCCAAAGAATCACATATATGAGATAGGCAGCTATATAAATGTACTAAATAATAAATAAATAAACTTGTGGTGCTTAGAAAACCATTTTTTAGTGGCAAATGAACACATATTTCATTTCTACATGTTCTTTATACAGTTCTAAAAGCTAAATTTATTTTCCGTAACTTCTCTTCTCAATGACATCCAACAAGTTGAGTGAACTATTTTTGCATTGTCTCAGGTTATTCCCTCAGACAGATTAGAGTTATGTTTAGCTATGTGATTTGGAAAATACTTTTACCTTTCTGTTGTCTTACCTTTAAATGCAGAAGTGTTAATTTTGAATTGTTTTTTTTTTGAACAATCCTTTTAGTCAGTATTTAATTTTATTGCTGAAAAGGAATTTCATGCTTCAAGTATGGCTTCTATTATTTGAAGGTTTTACTAATGGACTTTACCTGAAAAAATTCATTATTTGAAATTATCAAAACATAGCACTTTTTGTGAATGTCTTATTTCATCCTTATTTCTTTAGTAGAATGTCCTGATTTTACTACCATTTCAGGTATTTTCAAAGAGAAGGGATGAATTGGTGCTATGTTGGAAATTTTTCTATAATAATATTACTTTCAGTTAATTATGTCTTTTTCCATAGTAATTAGTGGTTTGGGACTTTGGTATATCATAGTCATTTATTTGTAGAAAAGAAATACCTAATATAAAAACACTGTTCAACAAAGTAAAAAACAACAACTAATCTTATAGGGATTCTATACGGCACAATGACTTTGGAGCTCGGGGGAACTGTTAGCATCACATGTGAGAAAACTGGATACAGTGCAGTCCTTGAATACAAGCTAAAGGTTAGTAGAATCTTTTCAGGTGCATTAGAGGTTTTAAAATTAAAAAATGCTTACTGTTCAGAAGTTTAGTTCTTTCAATTCTTTGTGCTTTGTCTTAAAAATATATAATATGAATACTATCACGTTTTGAAGTATTTAGTAATAACCTAAGATTTTGCTGATTAAAACAATATAAAATAAATGAATAAAAATATCCCTAGTAGTTAATATAATCATGTTATTTTTATATAGTACTTGCAGCTAAGCAGCTCATTATGATCTGCACTAACTCCATGTGGCAAATGAAATAAGTTATTTGTTCTCATTTTTTTTACAATGTTGTTGTTCCCTGGACATTCTAATAACACTGATCTGATTTCTAGAAAACTGCCAGACCATTTTCAGAAAAAATGTTTTCACCAATTCCTCCTTTCGTGGCCTCTTTGGATTGTTCCACAAACTTGTGGAGTACCTGTGAGGGGAGGAGTAATTCAATAAAATGTTGTTCTTTCCATTTTAATATTATGGAGCTTCAATGCAGTAGTTTATGAACTTCTAGTAATTAAAATGGCTTCCTTGTTCTTTTTATGAAAGGGTCATTGGTAAATTATTAATTTTAAGTTACTTGAATATTACATAGCTTTTTTAAAAAAAATCTCACTTTTTTTTTCATAGCCATTTTTGGGGAACAATGAAAATGTTAATCAAATAATGGGGAAAATTAAACTGGGAAAAGAAGTTCTAGCCACTCTAGAAGGCCATTGGGTAAGTAAAATAAGTTTGGCTTTGTTTCATTTTCTAAAGGTTGGGTACACAATGGTACCTTGGTACTTGACTGCTTTAAAATTCATCAGATTTGGTAATCAATGCATTTTGATGTGAAAATTTTGTCCCAGTACTTGTTTTTTTGGTACTCGATGCACAAGCTAGAACTTGTCATTGTCAGCTCCCTTGTGACTCGGTACACTTTCCAGCCAAAACAAAGGGTGACACGTTTGTCATGTGGTTCGTATGCCTCCCAGAACCAATTACTGACTAGTACTGAGATACCACTGTATTTTGATATATACGGTATTTTTATGTCGAAATTATTTGATATACATTGTTATTGATTATGACATATGCATCAGCCTTTTCTTTATTTTGCTATACTTTTTTCAGAAATCTGATCAGACTAGCACTAAACTTCCAAAGCCAAATTTGCACATTTACTGTAGGTCTGCCATATGGATAAATAAATGGAAATTCTTTCTAGCTTTCTTGTCCTTGCCTTGCAATAAGGCTAATATAATATCAAGTAAAGAAACATAATACTGATAAGAGTACAATGGTTTACATTGGACGCACAATAAATAGCAATAGCACTTAGACCACCTCATAGTACATCACAGCACACTGGGCACTTTACATTAAATATTACAATATGAACCCAGGAGAGAATAGATACGACATGAATTGCCATTGGTAATTCATAATTGAACTACATAATATTATTCTTCAAACCAGCTAAAGTGATTGTTATTGTAAGACTAAAGCAAAATAAATAAATATTGACATTAATCATTTTTTTTGTATACCTGGATTCTTGCTAAACCAAATTTCAGTTGGAAAGGAAAATAGATGGGAAAATAGAGTGAAAATCTAGAAATACGCTATGTGAGGGTGAGCAGATGCAATGTTCTGAAGAACATGGAAGATTCAGGGGAGGGGGACTCATTTTAATATGGGAACAGAACAAGAGCATGGAGTGAAGCACTAATCTCTCATCTTGAAATAATAAAGCATTCTGATTATTATTAGTATTAATTGCTAGGCAGTAGCTGACTGATAGGCTTTTATTTATATTACATTATGTTACATAATTTACACTACACCAGTGTAAGGAATAGGTTTTCTTAATATTTCAATTTAGACAATGCTTCAGTTCAGAATTATTATTCCAGAATTCCAATCTGAATTCATACAGTTGTCTTTGCAATAAGATAAAAATGTTTTTTCATTAGCTTTTAAAAAATTTATACAACCCTCTATATTCCTTAGTGATCTCCGATCCAATTACTAATCAGATCTCATTCTGTTTAGCTTTCTAAGATCAGCCAAGACTGGCAAAGTATTGCTGTATTTGATAGAACATAGTTAATTGAAATATAATTTTTACAAGCTTAAACTACATGTTTAATATACAGTTATTAATATGTTTCACTGTAGACCAATAAATTTGAAGAAATGTGTTAAGATTCACGTGCAAGTAAAACCAAATTCCACTGGAAAAAAGTAATTAAAGCACAAAATGTTAGCTGAGAATCAATAAATTCATTACTTTAATTCAAATGATTGGAGCTAAAATAAAGAAATAGAATATCAAGTATGATTTTCAGTTGACTAGTACAAATCTTTTAATTGTGAAAAGTGACTTTCTGAAGGAACTCTTTGTTTTTCCTGACTTCGAAAAATGCTTTGCCTAAAGTAATCTAATATGTTAACATTATAGGACAGTGAAGTTATTATTAGGGATAAGAAGACAGATGCTTCAGAGACATTCTGGAATCCAACACCTGAGATCAGGCAGCGCAGATTAAGAAGATACACAGTGAAGTTTGAGGAACAAGATGACTTTGAATCAGAGAAGTAAGTTCATTCTGAAACTTTTTTTCTGATTGATTATGCAGAGGTTCTTAAACATTTCCTGGATATATTTAGAAAGTTGAGAGCACTTTATAGGTGCCCTCATAAAACTGGCTGATGTGGCAGATGTGTTTGAACAAAGGTGTTGTTTCATTCTATTCCCTCTAGCCTCCTAAGAAGTTGTTTATCGGATTGAGGAGTAAAGCAGAAAGGATAAGTTTGGAAACCATAGCCTAGCTTATCCATTGGAGAAAGAATCCTTATTTTAAGTTTAATTAATTTTTATAGCATTCTTCCAGTGGTGTATTAACCATTAAGCAGACTAAGCACGTGCTTAGGGCTCCAGGCCCAAAGGGGACACCACAAAAACTTTTATGTCGCCTAAGCTTGGCTTCATTTGTACAGTATGTACAAAGGAGGGGGGTACCAAGATTTGTCAGTGCTTAGGGCACCAGTGAGCCTTAATCCGCCACTGCATTCTTCATTTGTTATTTTTAGTTTGGGGCTTTTTATGTTTATTTAGATGCACAATTTGGTTGATATCTTTGTATATCTGCCCTAGGATTGTATTGATGAGTATTAACTGGAAAAAAAATTCAGGAAAGTAAAATGCTAATGGAGATATTATAATTGTATTAGATATTTATTCTAATGATATAACAAAAGAAAATTTTCAGCAAAGCTCTTCTCCCCAGTATCTGACCTTTTTACTGCTGTTATTCTTACCGGTTAGACTTTGGCAGCATGTGACTCGAGCTATAAATAATAAAGACCAAACAGAAGCAACTCAAGAAAAATATATTCTGGAAGAAGCACAACGGAAAGCTGCCAAGGAAAGGAAGGCGCTAAATGAAGTGTGGGTCTGCAGACTATTTGAGCCAGATCCACTTACAGGAGAATGGAATTACAGATATGCAGAGTAAGTCTTGGAGGAGGAGAGTTTTTTTCCCTTTTCTGCAGATAATGCTCCTTCATAATATAGTATAAACCAAGTGTATAATTTGTCTGTGGTTTAGAGAGAAGAAGCTGTTACCCCTTCAAAAAATTTTTACCGGTGTAGGTGTAGCACTTTTCCATTTCCACAGTTCTAGCTGAAAAGAATACAAACAGTTCAGGTTTGAATTCTGGAGTCCTTGGTGCTCTCTGATCCAATTTGCTTGGATATTTGCTTGCTGGTGTTTCATTACCCAACTTGGTTGCTTCATCAGTGCATTAGTAAAATGCCTCTAAGCAAACAAACTCAAAAAGCACCACACCCTCCAAGCTGTCAACTAAACAACTCCAAGCTATATCTTGGGGGAAAACAGTCAATTGTTTGTGAGTCAATTGTTGGTGTGTGCAGTCACAAAGAACTCTAAGGACAACACAGAGTAATCTGTCCATAACTGATGGTGACATTCCTCAATTCCAGATTGTGTCATCATTGCCCAGATCTAATGTGTGACCTCAACTGAGTTGGGCCAGAGATAAATCAAATCAGGTCCATGTTTACCTGGTGACCATGAATTCTTGAACTGCTCTCCATTCCACATGCATGAAAGGTAGATTGATGTCCTCAAGTACCATAACCTGTGCCACAGGTTGAAATAGTTCAAGTGGGGAGATTTCTTTGCAGCAGGGAGGTTGGTAAATGCCAATCTTGCTGCAGCAACAATCTCCTGATCCCTACAGCCCAACTTACAAGCAAACTTGTTATCTGCAGAAGAACACCCCCAGAAGACATCAGAGCTTCTCAAATAACATAGCTACATCTTTGCCCCAGCTGTGAGTTTGTGCTTGAGCTACACATAGAAGCCAGTTTGGTGCATCTCTGTAAAGATGTATACATGCTTATGCTTCAGTAATGCACACAAGGTTAACTGTCTCATTCACAAGTCATGGATGTGGGAAGGTTTATTACAGGCTGACCAACAACATGTAGCAAGAGCTGGATATCTATATAAGATGCTAATGGTATACATTTTTAAAATACGATAACTACTGCTTTGCTGAAAGTAATGGGTGTGATGTGTTAATCCTCTCGCTTTATCTAAAGTATGTACACATTTTTGCATATAGTACAAGACCATGGGATCCACTGAATGACATGATACAGTTTGAAAAAGATGGCATTATTCAGACCAAAGTAAGACATCGTACACCAATGGTATGTTCTTGGCCTTATTTTTTATTACTTTATTATTCAGTTGAGATTTCTCTAGGGACAGGAAATTCCCTTGAAATAGCCACTTTCTGCCTTTGCTTCCCTGACAACTAAAATATACTGTTATGAGGAGTTCAACCTCTGGTCTGCTTGCAGCTGTTTTCTTCTGAGCTCTGCACTTTATATTTGTAAAATGTATATTATGCTATCCGCACTTCAGACAATTGCACTGGGAATGACAAAGTAATAATTTGTTAATTAGAATTTAACCTGATATTTAAATATAACCATTTTTTTAGCTGTGCCCATTTTTTCCTATATGGCTTCTTTCTCTTTAAATAAGATTCTGAGCTCCCCCTTAAATATAACAGATTAAGGAAACTATATGACACCAGTTGTATTCTAACGCATTGTAGATTTATCCAAATCTTGTAGGACTTAATTATTTCATATTTAGCTTTTAAAACCCGAAAGTTAAATAGCACATCTTTTATGATACTGTTAATTTTGGTGATTTAGGTCTGCAGTTTCCCCTAAGAGAGGACACAAAGCATATACTGAACAGTGTATGACAATATAAAGAAAATGGGAGAATGCCAATGAAATGGGTATGGCCATATCACATGAGTGGGTTAAAACCAGGGTCCCCCCCCCTTTTTTTTCTGATTTTGATGCAAGATTGTAGAGGAAGGGAATCTGTCAATCCTATTTATTCTATAGCTTGCACAAGACTATTAGTGTGTCTTCCAACTAAAAATATGATATGTTGTTGTTAGTTGCGAAGTCATGTCCAACCCATTGCAACCCCAGGGACAACATTCCTCCAGGCCTTCCTGTCCTCTATCATCCCCCGGAGTCCGCGCATACTGCTTCAGTGACTCCATCCAGCCACCTCATTTTCTGTCGTCCCCTTCTTCTTTTGCCCTCAATCTTTCCCAGCATTAGGCTCTTCTCCAGTGAGTTCTTCCCTTCTCATTAGGTGGCCAAAGTATTTGAGTTTCATCTTCAGGATCTGGCCTTCTAAAGAGCAGTCAGGGTTGATCTCCTGTAGGACTGACTGGTTTGATCGCCTTGCATTGCAATCCAAGGGACTTGTAGGAGTCTTCTCTAGCACCATAGTTTGAAGGCCTCAATTCTTTGGCACTCAGCCTTTCTTATGGTCCAACTAAAAATATGATATAAATATTTTATTGAAAGTTTTTTTAAAAAGATAAAACTAATACAAAGTAAAGGAGGAAAAAAAGGAAAAAGGCAAAAAGTACCAAAAGAAATAGAAGTATCTGATTTCCTTTGCAGCAAACATAACTATGATTACAAATCACACACATATACATATCTCTTCATCTGTGGTTATACAAATGCTTTTTCCTAATATCTGTTTTATAATTATTAAAAATCAAAAGTTCTTTTTTTTCTGTTTCATCAAAATGTCTATAACCAGCAATAAATATAGATATTGTCTTTTCTCTAAAAAATTTATCTGCACGTTCCATCATCTTTATCAACCATTATTTGGTTGTGGATGGTCCTGAATTTTTCTACTTTTGAACATATAATTTCACTGCAGTTACCATGTCTAAAAGCAAAGTTCCATGACTTTTTCCCACCTGTTGATCTATTGGTCTCAAAATAAAAACCTCTTGTTTCAATAGTACATTTATCTTTAGAATCTTCTAAATTACCATTGTGAATGTATCGTAGCCAACATTTTCTTGGCTTTTTTATACATTCACCAAATATGATAAAATGTCCTTTCATCTTCATATTTCCAACATAAATTTGAAGTGCTTTTATACATACTAGAAATTTTCTCTGATGGCACATCCTTTTATGAGTATTCTCTTCAAGATTACAATATTAAGCAAATTTCAGTCCTTTCAAACACATATTGTCCCACTGATCTATTTTTCTAGTTTTTAGCCCTATCATACATTCTTTCACTTTTTCTTCTTCTGTCTCAATTTTTAATGAAAGTTTATATCAGCAATTGCATATTCAACATTTGTACACAATTTCAAACATTGCCTTATATCAGGTGTCAAACTGGTACCCCGTAGGCCAGATGCGTCACACACAGGCTACACCAACCCCTGCTCCGCAAAAGTAAAAAATGTCGCAATAACATCATGTGATGCGATCGAGTTTGACACCCTTGTCTTATATTCTTAAAACCATAAAATCCACTTTAAACCTTGATGATAAGTGTAGATGGGAAAATCTACACAAGTATACTCTTCCACTATTATATTTTCTCCTGATTTTATTTTACATTTTCTTGAGAAAATTCTATTATAACACGATAAGATAACCATTTGTGTTTACTTATATTTCTCTTCTATAAAATGTTTCTTGTTCTGAGAGCCACAAAGCTGTTTTCGGACACAACCTAGATTCATATTTATTCAATATTCTCAGAGTGTCATGTCTAAAATAATGACTTTTAAAATCTACATTAATCTTATCTTTGTTGTACACAAACATATATGCCACCCAAATCTCAAATTGTGTCCTAACTCCAGTAACCTTCTGTTTCTCAGCAACACCCACTTCTTCATCCAAGCTAAACAACTAACAGCCAAGTATAATTTCAAATCAGATATACTCAGTCCTCCCTTTTGTTTGCATTTTGTAATATTTTATATTTAACTAGTGGTTTTTCCCCTTAGATATATTCTTCTTAAACACAGCATCAGTTGTCAAAACAACTATTGTCTGAAACAAAAGTAAAGTTCTTGGCAAAACATTCATCAGAATCATAGAAATTCTCCCCAGCAATGACCATTCTATTTTTGCCAACCTTAACAAAAAAATTTAACATCAATCTATTCTAGATATAATTGTTTTATAACAATTATAACATATAGTTTTATAAGATACAGTTCATATTTCTTATAGTACTACCCAAATATTTGACCTTCTCAATCTTAAAACATATTTTATTCATCAATTGTTTGATCTTGTATTTCCATGTTTTTGATAACTTCTCTATCTTCAGTTTATTAATCTTAAAACCTGCTAATGCAGCATATTCTTTAAATTATTCATTAATAATTTAGTTCGCTTTAAAGGGGCTTCCCAAGCCAACACTAAACCATCTGCAAAAGCTCTTAATGTCAAGGTTCCAATTAATACATCCCATTCAATAAGAACTCCAAGGCAGGCAATTTCCTCAAAGAACATTTTATTGGGACATATCATATTGGCACATTCTTGGTGGAAAACCAACTCTAAATTCCTGCCAGTTTTACACCCAATTAAAAGTAAAACTTTGTCACTTCACCCGAGAGTCTCCAGTCACATGGTCCAATCAACATGTAGTCCAGTTGCTTGGTGACCTCAGTCTCCACCTTTCAAACACCTGTATCAATGTCCTTGATTCCCAGGGGAAAGATAACATCCCAGCTATCTCTACACCCCCCCTCCCTGGCCCCTTTGCTCCAGGCTGTGTCAGCCCTGAAGCAATGAGAAGAGAAACCTCCCTAGAGAAAAGCTACAAAAAGAAAATGGCCACAGTTTGGCCAATTGCAGAGTTGACAATTTGTATGTCACCCTGTAATCTTTACCACCACAATCTTCTCATCTTGTCTTATGTCTCTATTTTATATTTCAAGAGCTAAAATAAACAAGAAAGGAAACAATAGGCAGCCTTGTCTTTTTCTTTTTTCACATAGTTTGGCTAAATATCCATTAGGAATTATCTGTGCTGCCTGTGAAGTATAAATTTACCTGTTTATGAAATTATCTCTAAAAATTCCTGTGTTTTGGAGAAGGATGTTCATATCCTTTATGCAAATTAAATGATATTGATAAAAAATAAAACAGTCACATATACTATCTCCCACATAATTTCAGTATCATTTTTCTTTTTCTCTTCACAATTTACAAACCAACAATTTATTGTTTATTTACAAATTCTTTGTTTTTCATAATTCAGTTTTATATTGATTTCTTTTTTTTAATATGGATAGCTATTGTTATGAAAATATTTTCCAGTTATTTGAATAAAAATACCTCCCAGAATACAAATTAATTTGGGAAAAATATTCTTTTTAGTTACTCACCTTTCCTCAAAGGTTGAGGTTTAATGACTCATCTATCCATATTTAAAGAAACCTCTTTATTTATTGAATTTATGTCTAATGTTACTAATTGAGCTATATCTTTCAGTATGCACATATTTAAATATTTAGTGGTTGAGTACAAGTATGATATTGATGTTCCTTTAATGGGAGGATAACCAGATTTTTACCTACTGGTATCTTCTATTTGGAGCAGATAATAGAATATCCTGCAACTTTATTAGGCTTCTGTCATTTGCATCAACACTGGAGTAGTAGTGTGAGCTTTAGAAATTTATCTTTGCTGCAGAGGAAATATCTGTTTATAGAATAATTAGTTCCCAATGTGTCTAAAAAATGAGGAAGACAAAACTTATTGTCTATGCAGGCTATATTGCAGTTGTCACTGTGGATGGAAAGCAGGTCAAATCCTGAGCCAATTGCAAAAACTTTCTGTATCTGCACATTTTTACACAGAAAGAGTAGCCGTTTGGAGTCTACACGGGTTATTTTAGGATTTCCCTTTGATCCAGGGAGAATCCAGGGGATTCTGACATCCAGAATCCGCCTTCTAGCCAGAGTTCTCAGCTGCTATCTCTCTCTGCTTTTTCAGCCCACCATAATTCCACACCAAAAGTTTCCTTTTCCCAACTAAAAATAGAAAGTTCTGTTGCTGATTTTCAGTTGTAAAAAATTAAACAGGGCCACAAAAAATACTACTTTAGGATTTATTATAACTATGAAAGATGGGTTAATCATTTATAAAGGAATAATTTTAAAAACTGATTTGCAAGCCCTGCCCATCCTTGCTGTATAGGGTGGGGTCCATATTTGCTTTTCTGGAGCCAGAAGATAATCAAATTCTTTAAGTTGAATGTTTATTATCTCAATTATCTCCTCTCAGTGTCACCTATTGTCCTCCAGTATGGCAAGTGAAGTGGGTTGCAAGAAGATAGTGTAAACAAAGATTTCTACCACTCGTTTCTTGCACACCAGCAGAAGACTGCTAACCATAATTGTCTTTTTGTTTCTGAGCAGTAAAGCTGATAAAAATGTGTATTACAGGTTACTGTTGCAAAAATAAAACGGTCTGCTAAGTCTAAAAAAGAAGAATGTGGCTTCTCTTCACCAGAGCCTGATAATCCAGACTCATCAGGAAGTGAAGGTAAATGCTACATTGGTTTACTTTGCCCTTCTTTCTAAAACTATGCTGAATAAAGTACAAGCATGCCTAAATTTGATTATCTGTAAACTAAAGATACTATTTTTGTTTTGGTGCCTTCAAATTATTGTCGATTCCTGGCAATTTCCTGGTTTAGTCCCTGCAGGTTTCATGATAAGATTTTTCGGGGTGGTTTGCTGTTGCGTCCTTCCTAGGGCTCAGAGAGATGGATTGGCTGAAATCACCCAGCTAGCTTCATGTCCAAGACAGAAATAGACTCTCAATCTCAGTTTTCTAACCCAGTGCCTTTAATCACTACGCCAAACTGGGTTTCCATGTTAAATTTATTTAATATTTTCTGTCCTGGCTTGTAAAATCATTTTTAAAATGAGAAAAAAAATGAGTTTTAATTCATATCTGATAAACTAAAATACTGGTTTCTATGTGATTTATATATTTTACCTGTTTGACTAATTTTGAATTACTTCTGAAGCACAACTCAAACATAACACAAGAATCCGAAAGAAAACAGTAGATCTTGCTGAACTGCAAAGTGCCATTGAATCTATAAAGTTAACACAGGAAGATATTCGGAGGTATGTTTGCAGTATTTTTTTTAAAATCACATTCCATAACAGGATTGTTGATGTTTCTCCATGCCGCACTCTCTAAATTCCCAGAATGCTCTCTCATTACCTCAGCATAACTTCTGTTGGAGCTTTTGGGCACATATCCAAAAAAAAGCACTAAGCTACACTCATCTACCCTGTTATAGTGAAAGCATACATCTCTGGATTCTACATCGGCTCCAGAGATATTGAAAACAGAGATTGTGCTTGACACTATTGCTTTGCTGCATGGCTGCCTCCTTTTTATTTAAGTAAAGTAAAATCAGATGGGCAGGAAATCTTGTGGGCATTAAGGGGAAATGTAACTAAGTACATAAAAACCTAAAGATGCCGATTTTGAGACCTGGGGATTTAGAGCAAACCTTGACCTTTAAATGTCTAAATAACTAAAGAAACTCTTGAGAGATAATGCTGCAGTTATATTCTCCTAATCACTATAAGAGCTGACTAAAGTACACATAATATAATATTTTTTTAAGTTACTGCTTAAAATATTTCTATCATGCCTTTCAGTTCCAAAATGCAAAACTACTGAAAATCAGAGATCAATAGAAAATAAGGTAACATTTTAATAAAAGAATATATAGGGACATAAATATTAGTATCTTGGTGTGAAAGCAAAGACTTTTCCAAGATTTTCCCTTTATTATTCAGTATAATGCAAAACAAAATGAAAGGGACAGAAGATTTAGATAGGTGGATAAGGTAGTAGGTACACTTACCTTCAAATGCAGTTGATATATGTTCATATCTTTATTTTTCTTAAAGATCCTTACTCTGTAGCACTTTTATTCTATTACCCTTAATTCTCTATAATGTCACAAATACTTCAGGTTACTTCTTGTTTAATTTCATGCAAATGTATTTTCACCATCTAATAAGGCCCCTTTATGTAGATTTCACTGTCATATTTTGAGATCAATTTGTTTTTCTTCCAAATTGATGAGAACACTGATGATGTTACCTGGTTGGGTAATAAAACATCTGCAAGAAAACAATCAAGCTCAGAGAGCACAAAGGAACATAGCTTGCCTTTTACTTGATCGTGCCTTAAATGAGTCCATTGATGTTACTGCTAATTGTCTTCCCTTTTCTTCCACTTTTCTTAGCATTATAGACTTCTTAAGATAGATAGGCCTTTGTATAAGGTGTCCAAAGTATGATATTTTGAGCCTTCTCATTTGTTCCTCAGAAATTATAGATTATTTGTTTAATGATCCATTTGTTTGTGGTATTTGGCTAACCATGGAATTCACAGAATTATTTTTCAACATTAAATTTCAAAATACACTATCTGTTTCTTCAAAATTCAAATGTTGCTTCCATAAAGCATCACAGAATATCATTGTCTATATTATTCTGATCTTTATAGGCAAAGATACATCCCAGCTTTTTCTAAGTCCTTCACTGCCACTCTACAAGTGTTAGTCTACATCATATTTCTTGACTGCTAGTGAAGCTATTCTTCAATATCTTTACTGTCACTTACAAGACTGGTTGCTGTACCTGTTGTCGTTATAATTTTATTTAACATTAAACCCATTTTTTCATCATGTTCCTTGACTTTCATCATTAAATCTTGCAGATCTTTTGCATTTTCAGCTGTCAGAAGTGTTATCAGCATAGCACAGGTTATTGATTTTTCTTCCTCACATTTTAAAACCATAGTCATCTTCTTCATAAACAGCAGCTTCCCCCAATATATAGTCAACATATAGCTGAATAAATAAAGTGAGAATAGCCAGCTTGTTTTAATCTTTTGCTGACCTAGAACCAGTCTGTTTGCCATATTCTGTCCTTCATGGCTGTATGGTAGGTTCTCATGAGACAATGAGATGTTCTGGGATTCCCATTTATTAAGTAAATGGGAGTGCCAGAACATGAGATGACCATTTGCCTACCTACAGAAAAAGATCCATATTTTTCCTAAATGCATATACCTTTTTTTAGTAAGAGTTAATATCCATATAAATTTAAGAGTTGAACTTTTGAACTTTCAGATTAATAAAACATTCAGAAGCTTTGTGGGAAACATGATATCCTGAAGCTGAACTTGTAATGAGTACTTTTTCTGCCAAAGATGGTGCTTTGTTAGCTTCAGAAGTAGATCCAAATGCTTTGTACTGCCATAATAAATAACAGCATGAATTTGGTTCTTTAAATACACTTACAATAGACATAAAACATAATTACAGCAGTAAGATAGTTTGTGAAGCCTGTAAGAACTATCCATAATCTTGTAGTACTGTGACCTACATACACTATGATCTAAATTTCACTATAATCCTATTAATAGATAACAAGATTGTTAAACAATCAAATACTGTATGCAGTAATGCCCACATCAGGGATGAAAATAGACAAAATTGGGGTGGGGGGTCTTGATTCAAGCTCTTCTTCATTTGTATGTTATGACGTGTAGAAAGGAGCAGGGATTTTGTCACACTGCTGCTAAGCTATCTTGGCTGTTTTGACATACACATTTCCCAGGAGAATCCATTGGTTTGCTTGTCAAGTCTTTATTCAATACACTGTGAATCAGTATTCAGTATCTTCTCTGACATTTGGAATATTTCATCCCTTCAAAATGGTTTAATGTACTTGAAATGTTTATCATGCTCTAATGAAAAAACAATGATAGCAGTGTAGATATTTAAATTTATCATGTTAACTAATGGGAGAAAAGATTTTTTTTAAAAAAAAAATTGAATTTGCTTCTGATCTAAAGTCAGAATGGACTATACTTGAAGTGATATGAAGTATAGGGGGTTATTTCTGGAATCCAGACTAGGCAGCCTTCCAGAATGCTTATTTGGATTTTCTGATAAGTGAATTGAATCCCCATTCATCACACCCTCATACTTGTGATGCTGATAGGTAAGGATTTAATGAATTTGTGGATTTTTAGGAAATGCAAGCCCATAGCAATTTATTGGCTACATTTATTTTTATGTTACCTTTAATATATTTAATATTTATAGAATTACATAGTTAAAATTTGATCCCCTATATGTGAAATCCTTTGAAGTCACTTGGAATTGAGGTCAAGATATGCACTATCACCTATTCATGTGATATTTAATAAATATGTGACTGTACAGTATGTGTACAATAGTAAAACATAAATAATTGGAAGAAAAATAAGTCATGGGTTAAAAATTAATTCAGAGGTGGTTTTAAAAATTGCTGAATATATGAAGAGAAGAATTGCATGAATATATTTTTAAAATGTAGTAAATGCTACAATTAAAAGATGGAATGGTCTGCCTAGCTTTCTAAAGAAGCAATCAGTCCAGTGTGGAGTTGTTGTTTTTTACACAACCCTTTTGAAATGTATAGGAGCAATGCTTCAACAACTTCCTTTCAATTTTCCACTATCCTGTCATCCTCTTCCTACTTTACACATATCCATATCAATTATATAGCGTGTCTTATACCTTGCTAGAATAATTTGTACGATTTGTACTATTTTAATTCAGAAGTTGATAAACTTGGGATCCATATATTTCTTTCAAATGTTTTATGAGTCTATGATGCTTAATTGGTAATCTCTGGATTTAACTAAATTTGTTTTTTTTAAAAATAGGGATATTACAGCATTAAGAACACGAATGACTTCAAGTTTGCCAACGCCAGATAATAACTTCTTTCAATTCAAGCACTATGTCTTCATTTTGCTGATGGTTCTCCTGCAACTTATAATCAATTACTTATTCAAATAGAATATCTGGACAGAAGAATATCTATGAAATGGAATTATTACGGTCTTCATGGGACCATCTTTAAAGCTTGGTTTGGCTTCAAATGAGGCAATATTATCCAAGGGCCCAGAAGATTCAGACTCAAAAGATTGGGCTCATATGGAATAGTGTATTATTCCATCCTAGCCAGATGACATGGACAATGCTTATGTGCCAGTACTTCTTCACATCTTCCAAATGCTGGATAACCGCCTTGCATGTTCTAAGGTGTCATAAACTATTATAAATACCAATATAGAATATACCAGTTTGGAATTTGAGGACCCTATTTTGTTATAATCAATCCCTATTGGACATGCTAGCAAAAGAAGTAAATTTTGACCTAAGACTTTTCTTCCTAAGATTAATCAATCTTACTTCAATATGAAAATAATGCCAAGGGATATTAATTCAGAAAATTCAATAATTGCAGAAAAATGAAACTGCTCACCTGTTCATGGTCATTAAGAACATGTGAGCTATTAATCATTAACATTGTATTAACTGCATCAATTTTCAGGGATAGTTAATGAGGGGTTTTCCCTTAGGTTGTAATAGTCGATCTTTGCTAATAGTATTAGTCAGTTTGAGAGAAAGAAACATTTCAGCTGTCCAGAGAAGTAAACCACTTTTGTGCCAAAGCAGTATTTTGATTCCTTTCTTCCCAAATTGAAACTCTTATTGACTGCTACTGTTTATTTAACTTTAGGGATACTAATAATGAGATGCAGAGGAATAGAAAGTGTACTATTTAGGCAATAAAAAAGGAAGCTATTTTAAGTTAATTATAAAATTCTTAATGATTGACCTCTGAGATCCTATCTGTATTTTAAAAGTATGTTAACATTGGTTTTGTCCTTTCAGGTTACACAATTTGAACATAACTGCATCTGAATATTTATACTGTAAAAAAAAAATGGGTAGCAACATTCTTGTTCCAAGAATAAGTGACTCTGGAAGGTTCATCTGCTACTCAGTTTTTGTTTAAGAAATATTTGGTTTCAAATGCCTCAGAATATAGCACATTTACCCTTACTTTCTTTATGCTAAAATATTGAGCTGTTTTACTGAGTCTCTGTAAGCAAATTCACCAAATCTGGATTGGGCTGCATTAAATTTAAAAAGATGTATTAAATTACAGCTACCGTTACTCCTGCTTTTCTGGTTTTTTTTATATTTATATAGTATTTATTGAAGACTTATAGTCAATTTACAGGGTAGCAAGAAGCATATATCTTACATGATTTATATATTTTATAGCAAATATGAAGTTTTCATTTAGAGATACATACTTTACATTTGGTCAATTCAGGATTATAGTACTCCCATCCCAAACCTAACTGTTTTAAAGATGTTGGAATACTTCAAAATGGAGTTTTATAACACCTGGGAATTACTTTCCCAACATCTTCTGATAATATCAGCATGAAAAAGGTAGCTGTAACCAACAGTTACAGTTTCCTGCCTGCCTTAAATTATTATGTTTTAAAAGTGCTACAGTTTAGAATGAGAAATGTATTACCATTGAAGTAAACTGGTTGAATGCAGCCATAATTCAGATGCTTTATAAATTGATTGAAATGCAGTCACTTATATGTATGGTTTTATGAAAGAATAGCACAAATAAAGTGCAAATACATATGTTCTGACATATTTATTTATATGCATTTGGAGCAACTACCTATCTGTACATAAATGTTCAGTGATCGTAACTGTTGGATTTATTTGGTTTTCACTGTTTTGACAATGTCTCCTAATATAAATACCACATTTATGTCAGCTGATATTTCTTCAGTTGTTGCTGAACTATTGTTCAGATGCTTTCTTTTAAACATTTCTATTCCTTCTAAACTCCCAAACCAGTTGCATTTTCAGTTACATTGTTTGTATTACCGGAGTCTAAAGCACTCCTGTGTCAAGCACAGCTCAAAAGCTTAACATTTTTGTTGCATCTTCAAGTAAGTTCCTTGTGTGAACTGAAGAATCTGTTGCCTAACTAATTTTTGTATGATATGTCTGGTTATGAGCCCAGTCAATACATTGTTTATATGATATTTAGTTTTATGAATACGATTCTACATTCTTTCATTTAGATTTTTTTCCTGTGTATAGTAATAAGGAAGCTGTGACCTGACAGTTTGTAGAAATCTAAGGGCAGTAGTTTCCCCATAATGTTTAGTACTTAAAAGTAGAAAATAATCAGAATTGTGTGTTGACTTGTTTGTGTGTTTGTTTTAAAAAAAATGCACTATAAGCCTTCAATATGCCATGTAATCATCAATATAACTACAATGAAATGTGTTGTGTAAAATAGTAAGTAGACTACTTGCAATATATAATTATTGTATCCTACGTTTGGCTGCTTTTTAACTTTTAGTTATCACTTAAGAGTACAACATACTCATTTTTCATGAAAAAGTTGCTTTTGACAACCAATCTGTAAAATATATCAAATGATTTTACAGCTCACTACCCTCCTGTGCCTTCAGGAAGATCTTCTTGCCAACTCAATATTAAATAAATGGGACAAGAGTTAAAATTGTTTTATTCAACATTTTGTTGTTTCTTGTCTTGATGGATGTTCTCAATTTTTTGGCACCTTTTAAGAGTGGGTGATCAGATACTTGAGTATTGTAACAGTGCCTTGATGGAGTTCGCACAGCAATGAGGTATGTATATATAAGTATATTTTCAAGGTTGCACCATATCTATTCAAAAATGTTGTGGTATCAGTTACTTTCAATATTAATTTGGGTAAAGTATAAAAAGATGTATAATTACAGAAAAATACATCATTTTTTTTCTTTTGATAACTATGAAGGACCCAATATTGGAGTACATATTCTTGTACAATGAAACTGCAATGTTGTTTGTTGTTACTAAAAAATAGCCATAATAAAATTTGAACCACTAACAACCAGCTTCATTTTATTGTTTTAACGTGTGGATTCTGAGCAAAATGACTGAAGATGAAAATAAAAATATGTACAATGTTTCAATGGAAAAGACCTGTTCTAGTATTTCCTTGTTTAGATTAAATATCCACTTATATAATGGATGTAAATCTTGGCTATTTAAATGAGTAGCCTTCCACTTTTCTTGAAATCTTCATTTTTTTGTTCGTGTTTCTGGAATAAACTTGTTCTCATTTTTAATTCTCTTCTTTTTATTTTAACACTCTGTTCCGATTTTTATACTGCTACACATTTTTAAACTGAAAATAAGCTATTGTATATTAAGGACCAGTGTTTAGTCCAATGCATATAATACATGTAACAAAAAAATGTGAAAACATTTACATATATATATGTGTGTGTGTGTGTGTTTTCTTAAGTTTTGGTGGGTATTCATGAAGCCTGATTATGGCAGATGGGATTCTGCCAAAACATTGCTACAACTTTAAAAGCACAACTATAATGACGTGGGAAAATACCCGAACAAAGCTGAATACCATATATATGTACATATACATATATGTGTGTGTGTGTGTGTGTGTGTGTGTGTAGGAAACTCCTATTTCTGTAAGTTTCCTATTTTTGCCCATCATGTAAAATACCATTATTATTATTATCATTGTTATTATTGCACTGTTCTATTTGCAAATCATGCTGCATGCAGTGTGATGAAGGAAATTAATTCCTTTGAACAGACTAGATTTGTGTGTTCCATGCGTAATTATATAGCTGAGTTTAAAAATTTGTTTAGAAGTAGATTTGTAAATTTAAAGTTCTACCACTGGTCAGTGGTTTTGTACAATTATAGAATAAAAAGCTGTAATCAATAATAGTACATTGTGTTTGAATTTTACTTGTAAAACTTTAAGTACAATTTCTTGATAATGCAGTACTGCTGGAGGGAATGTAATGAAAATAAATAAATAAAAAAACAGTCTGCTTCTGTTTAGCATAATCATTGAATTTGATAAAAGGAGGTCATTTTGGAAAGACTGAAACAGACTTATTTAAGAAACACAACACCATGTTATTCCGATCTGTTTGGAGACTCTTGGTAGATAAATAGATTGAACACTATCTGAATATGCTCAGCCCTTCCAGACATTAATTCCTATCTTCTATCACCTAGTCAGATTGTTTTGATTTTGGAAAAAGCTAAAGTCAAGATTCAATTGATATTGGAGAGAACAACACCAGAAAACTCCAGGGTTATATAAGATAGATTTTGAAGTTAAAAACCAACAACACCCAGAAAGAAAGCAACAAAAAACTAATTCCATCATATTGCCAAGAATCAATTCAAGAGAATGTTTACATTTTTTAAAAAATTAATAGAGTTTAAATATGTATTATATATATATGGTTGTATTAATTCTTATATTCTCTCTTGCAATAATTCTCATCTACAAGCAAAATATCCTTTTATATAGTGGACAATGTTTCTATTCCAGAAGAATATAGTTTCTTAGGCAAAATTGGCAGTTCTGTTTTGACACTTACATGCGTGTGTGCACATATAAACACAAGGGAGGAGATCTTATGATAATAGAATATAATTCTTTATTGGCTAAGTGTGATTGGACACATGGAAAATTTGTCTTTGGTGCATATTATCTCAGTGTACATAAAAAGAAAAGATACATTCATCAAGAATCATAAGGTACAATACTTAATGATAGGCATAGGGTAGAAGTAAGCAATCAAATCATACTAGGAAACAATCAGTATAAATTGTAAGGGTACAAGCAATAAAGTTACAGTCATAAGGGTGATAGGAACGATGAGAAGATTAATAGTAATAATGCAGACTAGTTTGACAGTATTGAGGGAATTATTTGTTCAGCAGAGTGATGGTGTTTGAGAAAAAACTTTTTGTGTCTAGTTCTAGTGTGCAGTGCTCTATAGCGTTGTTTTGAGGGTAGGAGTTGAAATAATTTATGTCCAGGATGTGAGGTGCCTATAAATATTTTCACAGCTCTCTTTTTGACTTGTGCAGTATACAAATCCTCAATGAAAGGCAGGTGGGTAGTAATTGTTTTTTCTGCATATCTAATTATCCTCTGAAGTCTGTGTCTGTCTTGTTGGGCTGCAGAACCAAACCAGACAGTTATAGAGGTGCAGATGAGACTCAATAATTCCTCTGTAGAACTGTATCAGCAGCTCCTTGGGCAGTTTGAGCTTTCTGAGTTGGTGCAGAGAAAACATTCTTTGTTGTGCTTTTTTGATGACTTTTTTGATGTTAGGTGTCCATTTTAAGTCTTGAGATATGATAGAATCTAGAAATTTGAAGGTCTCTACTGTTGATACTGTGTTTCTAGTATTGTAAGAAGTGGTAGTATGGGAGGGTTTCTCCTAAAGTCTACCACCATTTCTACGGTTTTGAGTGTGTTATTCCAGATTGTTCCAGTCGCATCATGAGGCTAGTTGTTCAACCTCTCATTTGTATGTGGATTCATCATTGTCTCAAATGAGACCAATCACTGTTGTATCATCTGCAAAGTTCAATAGTTTAACAGATGGATTGTTTGAGATGCAGTCATTGGTATATAGGAAGAAGAGAAGTGGAGAAAGCACACAGCCTTGGGGTGTGTGTGTGTGCTTATTGTACAGGTATCTGATGTGATTCTGCATAACTTCACCTGCCGCTTCCTGTCTATTAGGAAGCTTATGATCTACTTACAAGTGTGTTCAGGTACCGCTAGCTGGTTTAGGTTTGTTAGAAGAATGTCTGGAATAATGTTATTGAATGCTGAACTAAAGTCTACAAAGAGGACCCTTGCGTAGGTATTTGGAGATTCAAGATGTAGGATGTAGTGCAGAGTCATATTAACATCATCATCTGTCAATCTATTTGCTCGGAATGCAAATTGCGGCAGGTCTAGCAGTGGATCCATGATGGTTTTCAGGTGAGACAGCATTAGCCTTTCAAAGGTTTTCATAACTACAGATGTTAGAGCAATTAGTCTGTAGTCATTCAGTTCCTTGATGGAGGGCTTCTTCGGCACTGAGATGATAGTAGAATGTTTGAAGCAAGACGGAACATAGCACATCTCCAGTGATTTATTGAAGATTCGGGTGAAGATGGGGGCCAATTGGTCAGCACAGACTTTTAAGCAAGAAGGAGTTATCTTGTCTGGCCCTGGTACTTTTCCTGGCTTCTGTCTGTGTAATAGATCTTGCACTTCTTTTTCTGTGATCACAAGAGGTTGTGAGCCCAATGGATTGGGGCCAGTTGTAGGAGGCTTGGCTGTTGTTGGTGTGTTTGAGATGTGGGTTGTGGAAATAGGTGGCTGTAGTTTCTTTTGAAACCTGCAGTAAAACACATTCAGGTCATCTGCTAGTTGTTGATTTCCTTCTGCCTGGGAAGGAGGTTTGCTGAAGCCAGTGATGTTTTTAAGAGTTTTCCACATGGTTGCTGGTTCATTTGTTGAGAACTGATTCCTTAACTTTTCAGAATAGCTTCTTTTTGCTGCTCTGATCTCCCTTGTTAATACGTTTCTGGCCTGATTGTACAGCATTCTATCACCTTTTCTATCGGCTTCCTCTTTGGAACAATGTAGCTGCTTAAGTTTAGCTGTGAACCAAGGTTTATTGTTACTATATATTCGCAGGTTTCTTGTCGATACACATAGGTCTTCACAGAAGCTGACATATGATGTTACAGTATTTGTGAGTTCATCTAAGTCTGCAGAGGTATCTTTGAAAATATTCCAATCAGTGCAATCAAGGCAGGCCTGGAGTTTCAGCTTTGCCTCCTCAGTCCAAGTCCTCACTGATTTAATTGTTGGTTTCGTGGTTTTAAGTGTCTGTAAGCAGGCACAAGGTGAATCATGCAATTATCAGAGTATCCCACAGCTGCTTGTGGTAAAGACCAATAAGCATTTTTTAGTGTTGTGTAGCAATGGTCTAAAATATTCTTGCCTCGAATGGGACAATTGACATGCTGAAAATATTTTGGAAGCTCTTTCCTGAAGTTTGCTTTATTAAAATATCCTAAAATAATTTGAAATGGGTATCTGGTCAGCTAGAGTTCGTAATATGTTGTTTACACAAGCTTGTGGAAGAACATACACAGCAATTAGGAGAAATGAGGAGAACTCTTGTGGAGAATAAAATTGTTTGCAGTTGATAAATAAAGACTCTAAGTTTTCATCACAGAATTTATATATTATAGTTATATCCTGAGACCAGCTTTTGTTGATATATAAACATAAGCTGCCTCCCTTCTTTTTACCTGATGTTTCTACAATTCTGTCTGCTCTTTGTATCTGAAACACTGGGATATGCATGCTGTTGTCATCAATTTTTTCATGGACTCAAAAGTATGTACCGGAGCCATAATTCTGTCAAAAAGTAACACAAAACATGCAGTAAACTCAGAAATTCAGTTCTCAGAAATCAACAACAGAGAAAACGGTGAAGAAGCAGTTTCTAAATGCCATTACATGGCTTCATAGTCTTAAAATTATTTCAGAGGGGTTATAATCTAAAGATCAGGACAAGAATAGACCTTAATCTCGTAGCTTCCATTTTATAATTAATTGTCCCTTTCCATCTGATTCAAAAGTGGCTGTTTATAAAGTTTCTTAATATTCACCTTCATCTGGGGTGCTCCAAATGTGATGAGGCTAGAACTTCCACAATTCCCAGCCACTATATTCATTCACCTGAAGAAAGGCTGCAAAATCATTCTCTATTTAAAATGAAAGGTGATCAAGGAAGTGTCTTTGAAAGACTTATTGTACACTACCATTTCTTCAATTAAAAATATCCAAAGCTAATGAGATAGCAGTAATAGTATATTGCATTTGTAATTTTCTCATGTTTTTCCACCCTTCCACCTTTTTTCCTTTATCAGATTGACTTGTTAGAAGGGAATATAAATAACCTGCCTTTTGAATGGAAGGGCAGGATTCCTCAATCTGGAAGCTCTCTACTATATTCATTCTTTGTTGTTGATAAAAGGGAATCCTGCAATTCTTACAGAAGAATACAGAACAATACAATCTTGCTAGTACCTTGTATTCACACTTTGTTCAGTTGCTTAAAGTAGAAAAACAATATTATATTAACCACAAAACTAAGATCAAGACACTGACTACTGTGAATGCCTCTGATTAACAAGATGAGAGATTCTAGACTTCAAAAATAAAATGCCTTAGAAGCAAACTGAAAAGAAGTTTTGAAATATTCTGGTATAGCATTTTGCATTTTCACATGCCATATATTCCTTTCTTTGGAAAGTGGAGACATTCTGTTTTTAATTATTCAAAAAGGCAATTTCTTTCCATTAACTATCTTTCAATTGATTTTCAAATATTCTTAGCAAGTAACCTTTTTTCTGCTATCAACTATCAGTTATGTCTTTCTTCCCTTGCCTGAATGTATCAGAGTCATTAATATGCACAGCTCTCTTTCATGCAGCCTATTTGTTTCTTTACCTTTGCTAGAATAGTTAACCTGG